TGCACTGGATTCATTTTGAAGCGTTTGTGTTTATCTTCATTCTAGCGTGTTTGCCAATTGATTGAAAAAACTGACAAAAATTTCGGACCAACCTAATATACCGCCATGAAGCGCGGTACGGTTGTCGAGTTGTAGGGCTTGAATTAGGGTTGAGCAAAGGTTCAGGCACAAGTCCTTCGAAAACGACTCCCTCCCTCCTCGGAAAATTTCAAACGACCCCTACTTCCTCCTCTTGACCTCCACGACTCATAGTGTGAAATCCTGGGAAGCTCGAGCTGTTTAGAGAGTTTTTGAATTTTAGGATTGTACAATTTTCTGTGATTGCACATTGCAAGAACCGCAATGTGATGGCGGATTTGGTATGGGTGGACCTTTTGAAAAGGCCAGAATTTCCCTAGGTAGGGGTGTTTTCCTCCAAAATTTCGATGTAGGGAGACGAGGCTATGAGCTCAGTACTCATACCATGAATGGACTGATTTCTGAATTTTGAAGACAATGGGGGTCAGGTACAAGGCTACAAAAGCTCAGGTAGCCTGACCTTTCAAGGGGTTGTGCCTGACCTCGTTAACTTCATCTCCGAAAAAGCTTTTTCACTTAAGTTTTATGTGATTCGCTAGCACAAACCTCGAAAATTCTACAATAGATGTTGAGCCTACCTAGACTTGTCTAGGCTTTGTGGTGATCCGTAGAGTTGAAGCACTCAAGGTGGGAAAGGTAATATTTGAAATTTTCGCAGCACTTCTTAATCCAAAAGTGATATGAATAATTTATAGCAGAGACTTACAAAGAATACCACTTTGATATGAGTAAAAAAAGCTAATTTCTTTCTTTTTTGAAACCAAGTTAATCATGTTCGAAATTTACGCCTTTTTGACATTAGGAAACACTCGAGATGGAAAACATAATGTTTTGTAAGCTCTTGAAGGTAATTTGAGGTGCTGATTACGGAAATCATAACTAATTCACATAACGAGCATCTTTGGTGACCATACGGTGGTATTTGTAAAGTGAAGATTCTGAAGATTAAACAGTATGCAGTTGACGACTGTCATTCCTTTATTCTGATCGAGTTCGATGTTCATCGGTCTGCACTTTTCTTCTTCGCCTTACTTAGTATCTCCAACCTTTTAAACGATTTCGATTCTCGATTACATTCCCCACCCCTCGGGCACGCCTGGTCCTATGCTCAACCCTGGATGGAATGTATGCAGTAAAGGAGCAGTTCAGACGCATTTAATCGAATGTTGTGTCTTTGACGAGCAACTGAAGCAATTCAATTCTCGAAAATTCATCTTGCGGAGGTTCTAAAGGGCTACGGTTCTGGGCTTTCTTGTCACTGATAGACGAAGAAGCCAAGACAGTTGAAAAAATTTGCTCCAATGTAGTTCAGTATTGGCAATGCTGAGACCGGGTAACTCCAAAAGAAACCACATCGAACAATCCATAAAAGTCAAAACTCTGACCTCAAGTTCTTCGTCGGGTATTTCCATCTTGAGATCAAAACAATAGGAGAAAATGTTCTCCGAACGTTAATTCATTGCGCCAAACCATTTCAAAGTTATTTTTCCTATCAGTGATCTTGCTAAGCGACATATCTATAGATGTTCTTGTGAAGTGTCTGAAGCATTCTTTATTTAATTTTCGATCCATATTCTTTTCTCGACAGTGCGTATATCGATGAGAAAATGTCATTCAAGCGGACGCAGTCTACAGAGCAGTGTGGCTAAACAAGTCTGGAGTAGATTTTGAACACTCGACAACAGAACAAGTTACAATTATCTTATTTCCAAGAAGTTGAATTTTTCGCTTAAATACTAAACAGTCAAGTTCCTGATCAACAGGGGGGCATGGAACAAGCTCCATTGATTCTTTACAGTGATTGTGATTCATACATTGTCTACACAAGCTCAATCCCTAACAACTCTATAAATTATTTGGCTGGACTTGAACTGATTTCATAAATGTTTTTTTGTTGTTCTTTGTTACTGTTTTACGTACCTTCTTGACTTTTTAGAAGTGATACGCCTTGTGCATAGCAAATAAACATACAAATAAACACCTCATATTTGCGCAAAGCAATGGTGAGCTTGGCTTTCAACCAAAAGCCCTGCCTTGTCAATACCTGGATAATAGCTATGCGTAGAATTGTTTATGAGCTCTTTCCAGCAGTTTTCATTAGCAAACAAATTCCTGTGGAAGAAAGTATCGTTGTAAAGAGCATAAAACATCGAGCGAGGTGCATGACAGATCGCTGCAAGGCGCTGTGTGTCGTGTTTTTTCTTCTGCCTCGGCGTCGTCGATCGCATATCGCTCGGTGTGCGGTCTCATCGATGGCGTTCATCAGATGTGCAGCTGTGTGAACTCGACGATTTATTGAGTAGTAATGACTATTTGCCTCCAAACATCTGGATTTGTTTGGTACAAAGCCGTGTGGCTGTAAATAGATGCCAGATTGGTTGTAAAACATTGCGACTAGGCTAGGCTATGCGTAAAATTGGGCAAGATCGTCGGTTCTTGAAGGTGCATTCCAGCCGAAGTCGCCGAAATACATCAAGAGGTTGATACACAAGCCTGCACCAAAAAATAAAAAAATTGCAAAATATTTCTGAGCACAGCATTCACTGTCTTAGCATAAATATCAGAGATTTTTCAACTTGACACTAAAGAGCTGAATTCTGAAAAACCGTCGTTTCCAGCACTAATTTTTCATAGAAAAAGCATGTCATAAAACCAAAAGCAATCAGATAAAATTTTGGTAGACGTTTTAGAGTTTGTTGCTTTCCTTTATCAGCTTGCATCTCTGCGATATGGCAAGAGTATGAACTGTTTTGAGTATTTACGGAAACTGAAAAAATTTTCTTTATCTAATTATATGTCAAGTAATCGGATTCATTGAAGCTGAGAAAGATCATAAACTTTCCAAATTTTTTGTGCAAGACTTATGTATCAATATAAAGATCGGCTATACAGTCAAGTTACCTGTAGCGTACTGTATTTATCGCACAGATCGCGCAGTACTTCATGGCGTATATGCTTGCAAATTGATTTTCGGGTCTTTTCCATTTCCATCTCTTTTTCAAAACGATAATTCCAACTGTAATAGCTGAATAGATGTCTTATAGTTTGTTTTATTTAGATAGCTTTTCATTAAGTAGTCGCGAGGTGCCGCGTATGGTCTGCGATACATAAAGTACAAACTAGGATACTCTATCCATATACAGTCTGGTCATTTCATAAGAGCATGGGTGCCATTGCACACAATGTCCGCCTTGCCTTTCCCGTTCCCACCTTGAATCTTTGGAGAAACATCGAAGATGAAAGTTTCAAATAGTAAAGAATGCTGCTTGATTGTCGCTCGTGATATGAGAGAGGACAAAGACATTGAGAAAAAGTGAAAAACGCTTGACGAAGAGAACGTCTATGGCCAAAATTTAGAACGGGGATGGCATAGACGGACATTTTGTGCAAGGACACATATGATCTTATTAAATGACTGGACTGTAAGTAAAGCACCGTGATCGCTGTTGTAGAAGAACTGCAATTAAGATCTTGTCATTTCAGAACCATAGTTTGAATTGTATTCTTGTCGTCTAACTACATTTCATAGGTTTTTTTTTGTTTCACACGTTATATAAGTCCAGCGACAGATTCAGCGCGCTAGGCACATCAAACTCTGAACTTTCGTCGGATTTTTTTCTGAAAAGGAACCATAGATAAGAATTTTTCAACGAAAAATCAAGAGCAAACAAACGACGGAAATAACAGAAATTCGGAAATAATGATGAAAATCATTTTGAGGTAGGGGAACGAACTTCAGGGAAACATTTAGATAGGCCTTGATTGAAATCTTCTTGACCAAGTAATCTATCAAAGCTTGCCAAGGCTCTCAGGGTGAAGAATTCACAATTGTATGGTTCCACCGTTCAGATCTTGATTTCCACATATTTTTTACTATTTTTACATTTCACAATTTTTCCACTTTTTACACTTCAACCCATCAACAGATCAGCACGCTGGGCACTACATCAAATTCTGAACGTCCGTACGAGTTTTGCTATGTGTTTTGACTCATTCACACTTTTATCATTATCTTTCTTTTTCAAAAAGTGATATTAGATACACGTGAGGTAGAAAACACAAGAAGAAACCTGAGTGTTGAAATAATCCTATTGCAAAAAAAAAAGCCGTGTAAAAAGCTAGAAATTCTTCAAAGCAATTAAGCACAGCAACCGAAAAACAGAAATTGCCAGAATCACAAAAACGAAGACTGAGGGCATCTTGACCAAATAGTTTATTGCAGTCTATCAAGACTGTAAGATTTCTCACTTTTTCACTTTTTCACTTCGAATTTTCACATGGTTATTTTTTTCTAATTCAACACTTTATAACGAATCCATCAACAGATTCAGCGCGTCAGGCACTACATCAAACTCTGAACATCCGTCCGAGTTTTTTCTATATGTTTTGAATCATCCACACCATCTCGGTTGCAAATCCGCTGACTAAACCTCTCAGCGTCATCGGCTCGCATCGCATTTTTCGCAAAATCGAAAATCCTTGCAAAGTTTAGCATAGAATGAAAAATGTGGTCGATTGGTTGAGCCACATTGCGCTCTCTCAGATCGCATAGTTGATGGACGTTTTACGATAAACTCAATCGCAGCAGCGATGCCGACGAGCGTCTCGGTTTCGATAACGATGTCGCTACGACGCAATCGTGACCCTTTTCTCGCGATTTTTCAACGTCAGTCACAACGCCTATTGCTATGGAATTTGCACTTGAATGTTTCCATCCCCCCCCCCCCGGAACACAGCAAGGCCAAGCCCCGGCCCACAGCCAGCACAGCTTTTACACAGTATTTGTGAACGGATAATTTGCGCAAAAACGACAACCGTTAGGCTCCAGCTGTAGTTCGGGCTCGGGCATTCGTTTGCTCAGATTTATTTGCACAAATCGCTAGAAGAAGTAACAAGAGCGACGTGTTATTGTTCCAGTCACATTACTTGTCATATTCGCAATCCGTTTTGAACACTGCTTGACATGGCTCACAGAACCAGATGTACCTGAATAAGAAAAATTCTTCAAAAACATGAGTTACTCGAGCGAAAAGAGTAAATACAGTACCAGTCCTTCGTCTCAGCATCAAAGTACTTGCCAAAAGTCGAAAAATTCAAGCATTTCCTGCTAAGCGCCCGAGTTTGTTGAACAATCTATAAAATTCATTTCAATAGTTATGTAGACTATCCTTGAAGAATTGCGAAGTACATACATTCTTCAAATTCCTACGCTAACCTTCAATGAAGCCAATGCGCCCAAATCCCTAGATACGATCAGTCACAAAGTGGTACGCTACTTGTCCTTGAACCAGTTCAAAACAGGGCTTTTTTTCTTGTGAATGGCAAAGTCCAGAATCGTGCTATTGTTATTGGGGGAGCTGAGGAGACTATGAGATCGTCTAACCAGGATTTTTTACTTTTCACTTGTGCGCTCATAGGCATAATCAAAACATCCAAGAAAAAAGCATGATTTATGAAAACAAACACGTTTATGAAAAATTAAGCGATGCACTAGAGCTGACCTTTACTGAGTAAACTTTGTGAGTTATCGTATGTTTTTTTTTGATTTTCATATCCTGAATTTTATGGCTTTCACTTAATTTTGCCTTTCTAGATAGTACACATCAGGCGAGCTTCTTGTTGACTAGAAAAATGTATAACTACAATTAGAGTGGCTGAGCAAATATGTGTTGTAAATCTAATGGTCTGGATCGATATCATCTGGAATGTTTTACATTCCCTCACAATTAATGTAACAATACAATACAAATCCTTCTTTTACAATATTTATTATTTTTGATTTTTTGTTTTTGTTTTTTCTTTGTATCATTTGGTATGCTCTAAGCGTGCCGTGAACATCAACTGTTTGATAGAAAGGTATGGCAGGCTAATCAATTGGCAGAAAGGAAGAGAAAAACAGAAAGAAAAAAAATAAAACAGAAACTATGGCAGTTGATCGGTAGTGTGTCTAGGTCCGATAATTACATTTAAAAAGCGTAGGATGACACTGAAAAAGCCTGCACATTTTTTTGAACATAGACCATAGAAGATTCTTTTTCTTGGTAATTTTTTACGAGGCACAGCCCATACGAAAATTCTCTTTAATTCTTCTAATTAACCGAATCTCCTCGGAACATTCCTCTGATAGCCGGAACCTTCAATTGTCTAAAGCATTTCAATCCCACTCAAGATCCCATATTCACTGTGCAATTGGTGCTGAGCGCAAAAGCGTTTGCGGCTCTAATCAGGCACGATGCAACCGTCCAAAACTAGAACAAACAGTACGACAGACGGGTGGGGGGGGGGCTAGCTACAGCACGTATCCTGTCTATTTCATCACATTCGGGCTTATCAGCTGTTCTAAGTAGGCGAGAATCCCGCATAGATTATCGGTTTGCTGAATTTGCTAAGCGTAGGCAGCTGTTACCCAGAAGAATTGCTGTTTCAGGTTTTTTTTTCGCTAATATGGTGAATCAGCGGTTTTCATTTACACAGAACTAAATAAACTCACGTGAATTTTGCATCCAACAGGGCAGGCAAGACGATGTGTTGAATTACTATTCAACTTCGTCCTCTCCGATTCCGGTATCAACTCTCTTCGACAACTAAAATCAGTACAGATTATCTAAAGTTACCGAATGACTAATGTGCTGGCTTCCTCTTTACCCGGACCACTCGACCCCCCCCCCCGTCAGCAAAGGTAAACATTCGCAACTACTCAGCTATCACTAGCATACCGAACCCCAGACAGCTACAGTCAAAAACCAAGCGTTCGATTCGGTTCGGGAGTGGGTTTTACAGTATTGGAGGTAAACATGTTTGCGATGGAATTTCGAAAATGCGATTTTAAATATTTTTGAAGAGATAAGGGACCTTATTTCCTGTTTGACTCCTTTTGGTAATTCCATAATGCATGTAGTGGAGTTAGAATCGGGACATTCCAAAACTCTTGTTTCTGGAATTGGTTAGACAACAGAACAGCTGATAAAACAAGACTCTACCAAGCATCAATACTTACCATAACGTTTCCAGCTATGTAGTGTACTAATTAGAATCATAGAGATACTAATTTGCAAAAGAAAACGATTTTCACACATTCTGTGGAAAATCCTTATGCGATAATAGTGCGCTAGCCGAAGATTAGAGAGTCAGACTCGACTTTATAGCCATAAGACAGGTTCGCCAAGTTGGTATATCCGCTAACGGATACTGGAAATATCTCCTTGCTAGGATATTTGTGCATATCCTGAGAAATTTCACTTTCCTCAGTAGTTTACACCATTGTTTTAATCCAATTCGTACATAACATGTTCATCGCCTAGCCGAGGCGCAACCGTAGCTAAAACGACGAACACTAGTTCGGACAAATCAAGAACTGTACTTAGACCCTGTTCCATTGAGTGCTCCTCATTTCAATAAAACGACCTTCTACACACAAACTTGCAAAGTGGATGAAGGGCGCCGCACTCTTAGTTGTTGCTGTGGATGTCTTTTTTTCCTTCACTCCACACTCCACTAGAGTGTGGTGAAGATTTTCAAGGATTTCGGCGTCCTTGGTTGGGGAATGCAGTGAGATTTTTTGTCAATTATATAGTTCTAGGATTTTGTTCTATAAATACCTATACTTTGAAAAACAGCAGCAAGTTAAACAACTACTGAGGGACAAAGGTGAAATACGGTAAAACCCAATGCTTGAAATTTTTGTAGGGAAGATAGACAACTCTCAGAAAGGTTTCCAATTGAGCCAAATTTGAAGAAAATTACTCTTTCTGGCAAGTTTATCAATGTCGTGGTAGCTCTGTCCACGAGAAGAAATCTGACAACCTCGATCGAGATAGTAGAATCTCGTCTGGCCTCCCCCCCCCCATCCCAAAAAATCATGCGTAAAGAAAGTTCAAGAAGTATGAATTGACACTTTACTTGGAGAAGCTCGAGTTGGTCTCTTGTCGAATATTTTCACTATATACAAATTTTCTCAAGTGCTTATGACTACCGTGGAGTTGGATATCTTTCCTCCGTTTAGAGACAGAAAAGCAAAGGAACACTACGGTCGTTTTCAACGATTTGTAAAAATGTTATAGATACTTATGTACAAATGCTTGGTATCTTTGGAAGAAGTAAATCAGTAGGAATCGAACGGGCGACTCTGTTGGAGCAATAGCATTGATGATAGGAAATTTCGTATAAAAGATACGTGATAGTACAGCTTTGCAGCTATCTTCTCAAAAAAAGCTTAGCCAAGCAACAAGTACCTGATTTTTTATAGAACCTCAAATTACCGTGTTAAAACCAAATTATTTATTGGCCAAAACAAGATTATTCATTTTCATAATTCTTGTCTCATTCGTTTAGTCGAACGGTGCTAGACCAATCAGTCGAGACAATGCTCAACGCGGTATTTGCTCCTCACCCAAAATACATGAGCAAACAGCGCATTCTTCGGATTGCAGCACAGATCTCGAAGATGGGTAGTTAAGTGCATCTTTACGAGTTATTAGTTGCCGTACGGTGGTTACTGCGATCGCCTTGTTGTCCGTATTCCGTCAGATAACATTTATGACCTTGATTTATGATTATAGAGGATCGATGCCCGCTATCGCACTCGCTTCGGGTCAACGTACGCCCCCTTCGCAGCGCCATTAGCATCAGTCGACCACTTGCCTCGTCGAGTGCGACCTGCTCCGCTCTCGCCGCTACCGCCGCCGCAGCCGCGCCGTCGCCGCCGTCGACACCGCCGCAGCGGCCGCAATCGCGGACGCAGCGGCGGCGGCCCCACCTCGCAACACCGGCCGCTCTCGTTCGGCATTCATTCGTTCACCTGCACTGCTGCTAAGCCACCCGACTCTTCTGCTATTCCTCTCCCAGCGGATTCCCCCCCCCCCCCTCCCCGGCTTGGATCCTCCCCACCCATACCATTCATTCACTCATTCTACCCAACAGCAGTCAACTCCTCTCCCATCCCGCTTCTGAATCCCATCATCGTTCAAAACCAATCAATTTCATCGCATCTTCTCTTTTGTCACGGACGATCAACGCTAGCCTGCTGAGTGTAAACTTGTTTTTGTGCCCAACAGACTCGACTCGATAACTGTATTTGACGTTTTGGGTGAGCACAAAACGCATTATCAAATGGTCCTCTTCTCGTACTCCTCTTGTAGTTTTTAGCATTTTGTGTTGATCAGAGGTAAACACTATGAGGTGTTCAGAAATCTCTTCGGCACAAAAATTAATCTGTTACTGTCCAGGGCTATCAAGCTTTCTGGAAATTCTCAGATTGTTCTAAACTCTTGAGGTCTTGTGATCTGCCATATTTGCTTTGCCCTGATGTCTCTCTTTTTCTGCAAATTTCCGTTGGATATTTCCGACTGAGATCATCACCATAAGCACACTGTGGATGTGCTTATTTTGGTTATCTCGCCCGGGATTATTCCAATTTGATCACGTACATCTGTTTAACTATCCAAAAACAACAAACTGCTCTAAAATATACACTTTATCTAGCAAAGTACTTTAATGACATGTTTACAGCAAACTCTAGACGAGGTCTTTGACGTTGAGAACTTTTGGAAGAGGTGAATCTACGGAGCTTTGAGGAGTGCGACGAAATGCTTGCGGAAAAAGTGGATCTAATTTAGTGAAAGTCGACGCTTCTTCGGTAAGCCTAAATAATAGACCCCTAAAAACGTCAGTAAACAATTGCAGCAACATAGATGAATAGCTAGAGAACTTATAACTTTGCTGACGTCGATTCTCTGTCAGTGTCAATAAAATCGGAGGAATCGCAGTCGGTTACAGCGTGGCTGCAGCTTGCTGCGGACCTTAATGTTAAACAAAGATAGAGGACGAAGCAAAGCATCGAGCGAAGAAGAAGAGCATGTAATGAGGAGGAGGAATTGGTGTAGATACACGAATTTCTCACGTTTGCATCATCGTGTTCATCACTTTGTTTTCTGTTCGAATCGCTTTCGCAATCACTCCGAGTTTTCTGCTTTGCTTCGATGACGTGCTCAGTTCTGAGAAGACCGGGTACTTGTTGAAGTGTTGAAGCTGAAAGAAAGGCTTATACCAGAAATCATTAGAGAGACCCATCACCTTACATGAGTTCAACATTTTCTTATGTATAGCAATATATTAAGTTAAAGATAGAGCAATAGCTGATTGGGAAGGTCTGTTGTGGATGAAATCAACTAGCAAATCCCGTCTTGCTTGAGGCATACAAAATGTACACAGGGCCTATTATTGAATCTGCTACTTTACTGCATCGCATAATGTTTCAGGTATTGCTTGAAGTCCAAAAATTTCAACCAAAAAGTTATTTTGAGATTTCTAGGTCCAATTTGTTCTCTTACACTTGGAGGCCAAGAACCTGGCAAATTATTATCACTTCTTAATCTTGAACTTGGAAAGAAAAAGGTATTTTGATGGCCTTCAACGCTCTTGAGTTCTAGTTTCTGTATATGCAGAACTACCCAACCATAGTAAGAACCATTCAGAAGTACGAGTTCAATATTCTATTTTTGTCTACGTTAAGAAATTGTAAGTTTGATATATCTGCTAGTAAATGGATTGACGTTCAACTCTTCACTCGTTCGTAGGGATAAAACAGACCTTTCGCTTATCAAGTATGTCCGTTTAGTCTGTTACAACAACTGTAAAGGGTTTGGGCTTGATACTTAGCTCAAAAGCTAACCTTTAAGCAAAACTAGGTACATTTTGATTTTTATCTCGGTTCATAGCTAATGTTATTCACTTCTAAAACAGAATTGGTTCCTCCAGCCTAGCAACATCCTTTATGCAAGGAACAATGGGATCTATCTCAATTCGTGGTTTTTGTATTGTTTTTTATGTTTTGATGCACTTTTGCGAGATTGAAACCCTATCTCGAATACAAACTCTCGGGAGCGACAAGGGATAACAGATTTCGAGTGAAATTGGTCTTTTGATGGCCTTAAAAGCTCTGGTGTTCTATTTAATATTCTGTATATGCAAAACTACGGCTATAATGCATTATACACAAATACTAGTTACTATTTCCTACTTTGTAAGAGCTGAAGAAGTCGTAAGTTTGATATATTTGCTAGTAAATTTTCTTGTATGTCATTGACGCATAAATCATATGAAAAGCTTTACAATCTATGCTAGAAGTTATAGCCATGATTCTTTTCGCAATTGCGATCGAAAACATTTCGTTCTACTTTCTTGTTGAACTAGTCACTCTTGGTAAAGATTAAAACACTCATCGCTTATATTTTTCAGATAGCAAAGGGGCCGGTTCGTTCTGATGTCGAACACTTATCTAATCTGCATCGAAACACAAAAAGTAGCCGCTGTACATATGCGAGGAATCTCAATTAGTCACCAAGGCACATCACCACTCATACATTACAGCAGGCGAAGAATAGAGCTGGTTACGAGAAAAAAAAACTTTCCACGTTGCACGAGCAAAAATCTTTTGCAAAAGAGCACAAGTGCAACTCGTCTATACCTGAGCTTTATTGCACAACGTTCGTTCCTTACTATCCAGTAATGGAATCGCTCGATCGTGTTTGCACAGTTTGTACACGGCAGTACAATTCGTGTCCCTGATATTGACAAATTTTCGACAGTACAGTCGAAGCTGTTGTCAACAAAAATTTTAATATCGAAATACCTGGGCACTGAGAGATCCTTATTGAGTGTGTCAGCTAGAGGTCTTGAACCGATAATGACCGGCACATTGATTGTAATTATATCCACACCTAAAGAAAGAAAGTTGATTACTTTCCCGTTATCGGGACCCATATTTTTTGAAAAGTGGATATTGCTTCTTTTCCTGCATGATATTTGGACTCAACTTCACAGGAATGAGTTTCAGCTTCCTATCAGCTGAAAAAATGTCATTCACATGTTTGACAAAGAAAGTGTATTTCCTAACTAGTAACATAAGTTCAGTTTGTTTGCCCATCAATAATGACACTATTTTTAACCCAACAATACCAAAAATGAAATCAATATCATTAGAAAATGTCTCCCTATTTTCGATGAACGCATTGAATTTATCCAGAATGGGGAAGTGCTTCAGAGTTCATCATCTAAATGGCGAAACAAGCGGCCGCGACATACTTTGAGCTATATTCAAATTTTTTCTGGTTAAATTTCCGTGGTCGAAATAGTTCGCGATGGAAGATATTAGGTTGTTACATAAGTCTTGTTACACTTAACTTCTAACGGCGATAAGTCATATATCTTATAGTCTTTGCAAGACTCCAAGGTACCATTCGATAGAGCAAAGCAAGTTCTACAAGATGGTCTGCAAAAGTTTGTGCCAGCTCCGACCCACCGTAAGTTTGCACCCAAAATCTGAGTCGTACTGAAATTCAAAAAATCGCGAAAAATTCATATTTTTGTTCAAACAAATTCTACGGATCTCCAACTTGCTCACACAAATTGCCCACTATATCAAACACTCATATGTACCGTTGCTGTATTTTTTCCTTATCTAGAAATCGAGAAAAAGAATTTTTTTTAGTTTTTACAAAAATGAAGCTATGCTGTTTCTTTTCATGTAGCTGTATACTACAAGCCCTTAGAAGTATAACCGTAAATTTTCAGCTTTTCAGAAGCTCTGGTTTCTGAAAAATACCAAGTTTAGCTTTTATCACTCGGGTGTTCAATGCTAAATTAGGTAATTTTCGAAAACTAGGGCTTCTGAAAAGCTAAAAATTCACGGTTATACTTCTGAGGGCTTGTAGTTTACAGTTACATGAAAAGAAACAGCATAGCTTCATTTTTGTAAAAACTAAAAAAAATTCTTTTTCTCGATTTCTAGATAAGGAAAAAATACAGCAACGGTACATATGAGTGTTTTATATAGTGGACAATTTTTGTGAGCAAGTTGGAGATCCGTAGGATTTGTTTGAACAAAGATATGAATTTTTCGCGTTTTTTTGAATTTCAGTACGACTCAGATTTTGGGTGCAAACTTACGGTGGGTCGGAGCTGGCACAAACTTTTGCAAACCATCTTGTAGAACATGCTTTGCTCTATCGAATGGTACCTTGGAGTCCTGCAAAGACTATGAGGTGTATGACTTATCGCCGTTAGAAGTCAAGTGTAACAAGACTTATGTAACAACCTAATATATTTTGTATAATTGCTAAAAGCGGTCAACATGTTCTCATGAATGTTTTGGATCGTTATGCTTCCTAAAAAAATAACAGTTTAACAGTTTTTGAGTCATCACGGATCCTTTTGTACTTCATACGAGATGATTTTGAGAAAAACATCAGATTGGAACATAACTTAAGCTGTATTAATCTTTGTCCTAGCAGTTGAGGAGGTAATTTTCTAATAGAATCTATCGAAAATCTTTCCAGACTTTAGTCCATATTCCAGACAGAAGGCTTTTCTTATTGAAAAAAAAATGGGTCCGCATAACGTAAAAGCACCGGGAAATCTTTTTTTCCAGACTAGCCCGTTTTCCATGAAAACGTTCTGAAAAATATGGATCTGCACTACGGATGCCGGTAAATCTTTTCAAATCTATTTCGGCAAAGACTTTTGTTGTCCACACACATAGGGGCAGAGTATGATCCCATCATTTACATAATACCGCCGCGAATAATAATTGTTCAAGGGGTTTCCCAACATGCATAATCAACTAACCTCCACATTTGACTCTTATGCAATACTTATATGAGATGAGCATAAGTCTCTGGATTAGCGGTGATGAGAGCGAAGTCCGGGAACGCTGGCTACTGATCGAGAGACGAGCTGCGAAAATATGCGATTTTCTTCTGAGGTTGAATCTTCCACCATCTCCACGATGGAGGTCTGGGTGTTGAGACGAGGGCGTTGGGGTACTGTAGATCAAATAAATCATTATATGTAGTAATAAAGACTAATAAATGACTAATAAACTACTAATAATAGTATGCAATTGGAAACATCAGGTTTTGCCAATTTCACTGATTCTTGTTTATTTCCTATTATGTGTATTACTGGATCTGATTAGGCTTAGGCTACCCTAAAAATAAACCCCTTTTCTAAATAAAAATAGCACAAAGATTGTAAAAACAAAGACCGGATGTGCTCATCTTTATCCCAAATATGTATAATCGGCTGATCCAAATTAGCTGTGAACTTATGTAGCCCAAACTTTACTTTGCAATTTATAATTTGAAAACTTTGGGATTCTTGGAAAAATGGTAATTTATATAAATACAACTGAGTAGCACGAAGCATTTCAAAAGAAGTTACATACTGCACGAATGAAGAATCGAACAGCTTTGCTAATATGTTATAAGAAATAACAAAACAATTTACCTGGGAACAACTGGAGGAATGTGAATTTTCTTGTCAATTTTGATAATGGCACCTTGCTCGACGGACATTGCTAGAATATCCTCCTGCATTTCTTGAGTATCGATTAAGGTGGTCTGAAAGATTTTATTAAAATGTTTTTGTAGAACTCAGGGTGCCAGATTTTCTTCCAGCATGTCCCAAATCATGCATCAGAAAATCAAAGGCAATTCATAAGGAAAAAGTTCAAGGAAATTGTCAATTCTACATCAGAGATTGACATAATCATTTTAGTTTTACCACAAAATCAAAAAGTTGAGAAGAAAATTTAGGTTAACATGAAGTAATGTTCTTAATCCCGAAACTGGATAGTGCACATAGGAAAATTACTAAAGTCCCTGTGTCTTCTGTTATTTTACTTTAAGCTCCAAATCTTCTATTATAGGATAACCGAAGAGTTACAGGTGTTCTCAGTACAAGATTATGTTAGTTTTCCACTCCTGTGAGAAAATCAAAATTTTCATGTTTTTTCTTATTTTTACGAAATCGTTGAAGATTCTTGCTATCGTAATAATCCGCAGAATCGTCTCACCTCACTGCTTTCTTCTATATCCACACCAAATCGTACAATTCGTAAAAATGTCGCGCTAACCTTTTCCACATGTTTCTCGCTTTTGTTCTCGATTCTTCCTTCAAATATCGATTTTTACAACTTCACCTTTACTGACTGATGTTTGTAGCAAGTAAACGCTCAAGTGGAGTTCTTTGCTCACCGACGACTGTCATTCCCTCACCGCAAACGAATGCTGTTCGATCGATATTCACTGTAAGACGAATTTGTCCACCAAAACAGGAAAACCATCCGAATTTTCGTTGTTCGAACTCGGATATCGGTTCGAAGAAGGTTTTTGAGAGCTTGTTCAGATCCACATCTTCAATCACTGTAATTCCGCGAACTGCTTTCAGCAATGAGGGTTCACCATCTGTAAAGAGAAGAAACACCATTCTCGACTTAATTTACATTCTTGACCAATGCGGCTTTTTGAAAGCTTTCTGGAAAAGATGCGCTATAAATGTTTGTTTGCTCAAAACTTTTGTTACTAAGTTGGAAAAGTCTTGCACCAAAAATGTAAAAAAATTATTTTGAAGCGCTCATCAACTTTAATCTCAAAAATTTTCTGTTGTATGCAATAAATGCATATTTTATCATGCATAACAAATTCTAATCTGAACAAACAAAAGTCAAAAAAAAAGAAATTTGAAAATCACAGCTCGCAGAGAGATTCGGTTAGCTTGAGTTCATCTCGATAAAAAAGAGTAAGTCATAAAACTCGAACTAAAAGTGATATTAGAGGTTGCTGAGCTTTCCAACATCTCTAGGGATCGAAAATTAAATGAAATAAAAATTGAGAGTTTTTGCATATCAGCTTTAATCGCCGCTAGATAAAACATCTTTATTTTAAGCATTAGCGGAAACCGCAAGTTTTTCTCTCTGTCTTATATTATACCGAAAGGATTCATTAAATGGAGAAACTTACAGATTTTCCAAAAGTTTTTGGCGCGAGACTTATGTTTTCAACTTAATAATTCTATGGTGTACAAGCAGAACAGCGTCAAATAATCTCAATGAGCAAATTTTCCAAGGAATTTGTGTTGTGGCATTTTCTTTTCCTATTGTTTTTGAGCTAACCGCAGATTTTGTGTTCAATATGATTTGGATTGACCGCAAGCTTCGCTCATAGAAGTTTCCGGACCCTCTTTTTACGAAAATAGCACTCATTTTGCAGTGCAGGTGTCAGGTATGTACTGAAGCGTGATTGCCAAAGATTCAAAGAACCGTTAGTTAAAACTTCTGTCTAAAAAACAACCGTTAGTTAAAACTTCTGTCCTAGAAACTTTCATAACCATGGTTTGTGAGTTCAACAGATTAAATCTTCAAATGTTTCTCAAGAAAGAAGGAAGTTTATAGAATAAGTTAAATACTCGCACGACAAAGAATAGCCTTCTTTCATTACGATGAGTACATAAATGTATAGTGACACTTACCGCTATTTTTGTACTCAAGCACCGCGATAATTGAGTACTGTACATGTCCTTTTGTTGAGTAGAAAGAGCTTGGTAAATTATCGGGAAGAGCGTCCTGTAATCGACAAAACTTTGTTTTTTCTCGAGAGTTTCAACTCATTCTATGCTGATCTTCTATAGTTGTAAGTGTACAGTTTATCTAATCTTCAACTTGTACATTATGAGTCTTGGACGGAAAGAGACTAGAAATTTTTTACCAGTGTGTAACTATCACATTATGTTGGTCCAAAAGTTCATTCGCACCTACAGAAAATTATAACTTCCTTGCATACAAATGGAATAATTTCAAAGTATTTTTATTTGCACCCAGAAATCATGCGTTTTACAGGCCTTTATGATGACAAGATTTAATGAAATAACTTAGAAGCAAACGAAGAAATCAAAATTGGCATTTTTGAGCAAAGTCACGAAAAATACTGAAATCATTTTTGTTCAGAAGCGGGAATTGTGCGCATCACAGTAGTACTCCCGAATTAGTATGAAAAAATACGAGAATTAGAAGCAAATGAATAAGATTACTCATAATAAAATCTTTCAAGCAAGATCACTAAATTTACTGGTCGCAGAATGAATGATAAATAGGAGTAGGGGTGATGTCAAAGTTTAGCTTCATTCCTAACAAAGCCTTCGAAATTCGATTTTTTGTCGACAAAAAATGCCAGTCTTGTGTAACTCAAATCGTTGTCTTCCAACTCTTGCTTCACCCTTGCTTCTACCGATATTATTCCAAATTAAAGGTGCTGCTGCAAAGCGCTTGTTTTGCTTTCAAACAAAATTAGAAAGACTAAAAGATACAAAAAGGTTGCGGTTTTGTGAGAGTGACGCGAATGAATTTTCGAACCTGCCTAATAATTGGTATTCCTGTAATTTGGCTTGAATTTAGCAATCAACACATCTGTGTGCAACAGTTATTAGAGCAATAGCGAAGAAGTTGAAAACAACAACGAATAGTGATAAAGTTGTGGACGATAAAAAATATCAATAAGAAGTGTTTTGTTAATTTTGAAAGGCAGTAGTCATAGAGCACACACAACAGTATACTAAGGTGAGTCAAAAGTAGTGAGAACATCGCATCTCTTTTTAAACCTACTCTCAAAGTAGGTAGAATGTGTATAAGCAAGTGCCTAAGCGGTGTCCGACATAGTTTTTCTTTCTCTTTCCGATAGATATAATTTTCCACCAAATCACTTCGTAATTGCTGAATTATTTGCAGAAATCTTGAACACAAAGCGTTTTCCGTTCAAAATCTACGGTTTTTTCAAAGTTGTCAAAAAATTCTAGATTGTGGTAATTTGAAGCGGTAAACGCTTGATTACCTTGCAGAATTAAGGTCTGATGATAAACTACTTTCGAAGCTCTCAAATTCGAAAGATTTTGTAGGGTTTAGGGCATTTTTATTTTTAGCCTTTTTTTGAAAATTTAGGGCTTTTGCAAAAATGATTTTAAAAGGCTCCAAATGCTAGTTTCGAAATACCTAAATAGCAGTGGCGTACCCAGGATTTCGGCTCGGGGGGGGGGGGCGCGACAAAAATTTTTTTCTAAAGAAGGTGCGTGGCGTCAGCCACGCACTCCGAAAAAATTTTGGGGTGCTTGTCAAAATTTTTCCGGGTCCCTGACCCCTAAAATCTGGAAAAAGGGGGCGTGGCGTCAGCCACGCCCCCGAAAGAAAATTTTTTATAAGGCTAAAATGAATTTTTAAAAAATTTTAAAAATTATTTTAATTATTTACAAGTAAAAACAAGTCACTTGCACATTTTTATAACCCATGTAAGTAACTTTCAAAAATTTCGCGACCCGTTCTCGGGGGGGGGCGCGCGCCCCCCCCCGCCCCCCCCCCCTCGGTACGCCACTGCTAAATAGTGGTTTACATCAAGCAGGGCCTGCTCTGTCTTTATGTTACCGAATTTGCTCGTAAACCTCAAAATGAAAATTCTGAGGATTACCTAAACTCAAGGAAAGCAAAAATGACGGGTTCAAAATTTGGGAAATTTTTTCGACAGCTAAGAAGTCAGCTGGGCGATTGGCCTCACTGCTGAGAAGAGAAAGAAAAGCTACGTTTTATACATTTCAAGGTACTCTTCTATCGCTATTCTACACGAGTTGCGGAAAGTTCGAAATGGGGAGCTAAAAGTTCTCATTACTTTTGACTCAACCTAATATTTCTTCAAAATGTATTTCAAGCAAACCTCAAAATCATATTGCTTCTCGTGTTCATAGAGCGTCGTCGGTGAAGTGATGATTGACCATTCTTTTTTCATATAGACTATACTCTTCTGTAGCGATTCATCCTTCTGAATACAAAATCAGTCCTTCTTGCCTGTGGGTTCTAAAACAGAAGGTTGAGCTTTATCTCACCTTTCCTTTTATGTTCACTCTTCCTAAGCCCATGAGTGTGATCTTGAGGGATGTGATGTCGAGAGAGCCTTCAGAAAGTTTCAAGAGTACCCGTCCTTGAATTTTCTCACCGGGTGTATAGCAGTACTCTTTCCTAACCAAATCGATAAAGAAGACAGTAAGGTTGTCCTTCGAGTTGGCCTGTAAAAATATAACTACAAAAATTCGAGTTTTAATCTTGAGCTGTAGTAATGTGAAAAAGTGACTCACTGAGGTGGCGTTTAGCATGCTTTAAACGTTTTTCGATATGGAATCTCCGGTAGCAATTTTCGCTTTAGCCGAACCTATATACACAAAACATATGACGTCACGATTATACTCACGTCATTTGGGGGTAGGTGAGGTATTGAACCCTTACGACACTTTTATCCACAAAAGAGTGAGAATGATTAGAGATTAGTTTGACTACACTTCCCTTACATCCAACCGAGCAAAGTGTTGAGTATCGAATGTGGAGAAAAATTAATTTGCTAAAACACGAACCTCGGATTTTTTAGCGGATGTAAAGGAAATTTATACCGAATGAAGCCTGACGACATCCGAAAAATGACTCTTAAGGATAATTCTCAAACCTTTAAGTCTTATAAATTTTTTCAGAAACTTTTTGCTTATTACAGGATTTGGAAAAACTGATCTAGATATTCACATTGAAAACAATTTACTTGCGCGGTCCTCATCACTAAAGAATCGTCAAATTTCTTTTTTTGGTAATATTGTTACAAAAAAGGCGATGCATCATGGACATGATTTGAGTTTTATTAATGCATACTAACTTTCTAAAAAGTAAATAATCGAGAACCCAGCAGAAAAACATAGCCAATTTTTTGGCTCGAATGAGAGCAGGGGTTGGTTTGTAGTAACAATGGCCAGTGGTTAAGTTTTTCTGACAGATATCTTCCTGTCATTACCCCATAATTGTGCAAGAAACCTGGCAATATGCCAGAGGTGGCCGACTTGTAACTAGCGAATTATCGCTTTCCGCCGGATTCTTTGGCCACGGTGGTCAAGTCTGGAGAAGACATGCTCTTTGCGGAGACATGTAAAAGTTTTTCTCTTTTTAAAGAGAAACTTATAGTTGATTTTCGCACGATAGGCCGAAAATGTCATCATAACGTCATGTCACCATGCCAAATTTTTCAGGCAATTCGAACAGCAAAAAGGGTTTTATGATTGTATAAGGGAAAAGCGCTACCAAGACTTAGCTTCAGCTCACTTGACTTAACTGTACTCTTTCTAAGTATTAATACAACTATTTGGCCATCTCCGTATGGAACGGTCATTGCAAGTACTTAAACGTACTGCTATAGGTTCGTCAAATTTTTTGGAGGCGTGACTACTACCTCCACGTCCGTTTCTAAGCAAAATTTCAGCGTTTCGAAATCTCTATTTATTTGACATAAAAATTATCCCAGAAAGCTTTTCGAACGTGCCTAACTTCTTGTCTCTTACTCCGCAGATATTGGAAACGGGCGACACATTTGATGGAATAAAGATTCCTAAGAGAACTTGGCATTGTTAAAACGTTGCAGTACGTCAATAGCTCTCGGAAAATGACAAAATCTGCGATTCATGCTTTTTGAGATGGTCCAGTTTCACAATTTTCCTAAAAATTTATATCAACTCCGAAGGAGTCCAAATAACGCATCTATAAAGCAAACTCTATATGATGCATAACAATTTTTGTTCTCTTTTCCACAGCTTTTCATACATTACTAGTAGAATTCTAACTGATGATACTTCCATACTTGGCCGTTCTAATACCTCGTAGAACATCAAAGGGAGAGCAGATTGGGCGCTTTTTGATGCAGCTTTTTCTCCTATTTCTAATGGTGTTTTTCTTTTAGAAACGTTTGATCTTTAAGAAAAAATCGTCATAACTTTTTTGAGCGTGCCACAGGCTGGTCCCGAAAGACTCGAAGTTTGCAACACTGCTACGTATACCAGTGAGTATAATCAAATCGACGGCAATGCATCAGATTCAGATTGCGCAACTCTGTCAGTTGGTTTGCTTTCCATGGTCTCCTTAGTGCATCTCACATTGTTTAGAAGTCTTAGTACATTGTAAGAAGACAGAAAAATCCAGATTTGATTCTAACTATAACGCACACCGCCCGATTTGGGTGTATAGATTGGCATTCCTGGATTTCGATAAAATTTATAGAGAAATCCAGAAAGATGTAATGAATTCATAATCCAACTTGTTTAGCACGCGGTCTGAAATGTGTTTGAGAAATTGCTTCGTGAGCGTGCAACAGATGGACAGCAAACCCTACCTTCTTGCAGCTTCGTAAAACTTACTTGAATTCTAAGTTTGCAAGAGCATACTTTTTTGGTAACCGGACTCAAATGTAAGACTTTCCTTTACAACGGATGAATCTTCAGAAATTGTTTAATTTGCTCCAAAACTGTTTTCGTTTCTGACCGTCTGGAACTGTTTGAATGCTGTGTTCATGAGTGACTGGTTTCAAGAAAGTATGCTTATCATAGCTAAGTAATGCCATAGACAATAGTTTGGTTGCCCTTTATTCGTGTATTATGATTCAATTTTGAGAGAAAAGACTTATCTTAAAGTCTCAAGCACTTCTTAGCTTAGTTACACGTAAGGGTTCCAGTAACCTGTATCATCTCCCGCTAAGATATCGTCAGGAAATTTCCAATGTTACAATGCTCCGCTTTTTTTAGACAGCGTTCGAGTACGTAGCATTCTTTGATGTTCCGCTTGTAATTTCCTTTTCGATCTTCTTTTCGTAATTTATCCTTTGAAATCAATTGTTTCTTTTTACAATCTTCTACTAATGAAAGATCGGCATCAAATGTCTTAGGACTTTCTGACTCCTTTCGATGTTTATCTTCGCTCATCTCGAGCAACATCAGCTCAAATTTTTTTCGGTTTTATTCTTCTTTCAGATTTATTTGAACAAGCGTTCATCTACAGGTTCACTAAAATGCCCAGCAAGGATTAGGACAAGATTGGATAAAAGTTTGATAAACGTCCTGCGTGACCGACATGATAACCGTATGAACGGTGGTTTTGTTCAGAGTTGGACGAGATTTCAGTACCTAGAAGAATTGTTGGATGAGTGCTGATGTTCCTTCAAGTTGCGATCAACTAACCTGGTAAAGTCCTGAAGCATTAACGCGAGACTGGCCTAGTTGTCTCATACAAGCATTTCCTGGATCACGACGATCATCAAGATAAAGGGGCTCCTAAAATAACGTAAAATTCTTTTCATATGGAGTTTTGACCGCTCCATTTACCTTGTCCGGGTCATAGTTTGTTTGCAGAACGAACCAGTCATTATCTCCATCAAAGAGTTTTCGCTCAAACTGAACATCTGTGGTATTTCTCACAATCACCGATCCTTGCCCTAAAAATCTCCATATGAGGATTCGCTTATTTTTCAGAGTGTTTGATTACCTGGCTTAGCGCCTCCTAGAATAAAGTACGCTCCAGAGAGCATTGGCACATCATAGATGAATTTTCTGGCTTCCTTAATTTTGTTGAAAAAAATGCGAATTTGTTTCTCATCCAATTTTTGCACTCACGTCAAAGGTGTTCGCTTCCTCGAAGAGTTTTCTATCGAAGTACATCGCAAATTGAATGTCAGGCTGATCGCCGTTCAACCATGAGATGATATTTTTGATGTCCGGCTGAACCTTGGAGTTCATCGACAGAGAGAAGGCATTTGGTTTCATTCCTGAAAATTTTTTCGAAAATTCAATGGGTTTGAGAAAAAGAACGCAGAATAATCGAGTTACAAGTAATCAGGGAAAACAATTTGCAATGGATTTTTAAGCGTGACGCTTTTATCGCGGTAAATTCCTTAAATTGCCTTTTTGAGAGTGATTTTTGAAAAACGAGTAAAACGGTAAACAGTTGATCGTCTAGCATTGAACATATTTGTGTTGTGCATGCACTAGTTTTTCACAAAAATAAAAGAATTGTCGGAACCTTACCTGTGAGTATACCAACATGTCCGGCAAGCGTTGTACCCTTGAACAGCACGGTCCCGTTTCGAATGAAATTCAAATTGATGGTAACTTTTTTAAGCGTATCGGTGAGATCCCATGACTGTGCTGCGATATTCCAGACGAAAAGCTGTCCGAAGTCGAGATTTCTTCAAAAAATTCTGTTATAGAAACACTAACTTTTACATTTTCCAGGGACACACCTTGCATGCCACATATCTCTGTTGCCAGTCGGCTGGGCAACGATTGAAGTGCAGAAACGAGATAACTCGTAGAAAATGTTGAGAAAAGCAAGTTGACCTAGGTTGCATCCCAACTCGTCAGCTATTCCCTAAATATGCTATTTGCATTTATGAATGTAATGTCTCCTTATCTATCCTCGAGCTGTAAGTTTAATATGCGTGTTGCACACCGTGCGCGCTATTTGACGACTTGCAGGACCGAAACTCTCTTATTTTTAGTGGTTTCCCTTTTGTTTCTTTTTCGACTTTGATTTCATTGAATATGTAATGGTTAGTAGCACACATTTCTATAGTTTATTCTAGAAAAGTCTTCACCGGGGAGTTACGGGAAGGTGCGACTCACGAATTTGGTTACAAATGACTCGAACTCACTTGCACTTCGTCCTTGTACGGCTGCATGATCATTCCTTCTTCAAAAACTTTTAGCATGAGATCTCCAAGCATGTCCCAAATAGGAATTCCTGGGATTATCTCAAAAAAGTGCTGAAATGAGGATATCAATTTTCGAACACTTTCGAGATCAAGAGAAAATACCTACGCCTAAAACGTCGAAAACGGCTTGAATCTGGTTTTTAAACGGCCTCACAACGTGTTTAAACCTTTCCTTTGCAGGAGCATCCAAATCAACATTGAACCAAGGTACCTAGATTTGAGCTTTTTATTCTTTAGTATCGTAAAGAAAAAACGTACCTCCATGGACTGCGCCGGGTCGTAGAGATTAGCTTCACCAGCCCTGCATTCGGGTGGAAAGTCGGGGTTAGGTACCGTCACAGCTTGACATTTGGAGAGCTGCAATACGGGTATTTAACATCTTAATTAAGAGTTGTATGGTACATTTCAGGTCTTGCATTATAGCTTGTTTCACTTGAAGAAACATTGCATTACCACTTTTTGTTTCCAAGATTTTGAGAGCGGGCTAAATTATGGTTAAAAAACCAGTGTTTCCTGGTCCTAATCGTCAATTTTGAGACCTTCTTCAACAAGCAAAGTTTTTTTTTTCAGTTTTAGACTGAAACATGTACTCAAATATGAGGTGGAATTGCAAGTTATTCAAGATTTGATAGCAAGTCTGAGTGCTCTTCAGGAAGATAAAGAATGAGAGAGTGAGGCGCTGCCTTGGAAAACACCATCATCTAATTTCAATATTTTTGGGTGAATAAAATATCACAAAAATTCAATAAAAATTATACACACTACACAAATTATACTCAGATTTCATTCTTTAGTTTCGTATATACTAGTGCTGGGAAAAAGCAGAAATGATGATGTGATGTGGTAGCGGATCTGTCACTTAGAAATATTGATATTTGTAGGGAAGAATTTATTCGAATGATCAGAATGTGGATAAAATACGAAAATAGCTTTTATTCTATGGAGCATCCTCAAAATACGAAAGAGAGGGATAAGGTTTTTTCCAGCTTTCGTTCTTTCTACCAGTCTTCTTGAGGAACCCAGATTGAATACTTTGGAGCAGTTTTATTGTTACTAGTCGTAAGAGACATTCTGGAAGGAGCGTCTGGCTTAACTACTCCATTCACAACTTACCCCAAAGAAAAGTAGAGCAGCACCGAAGACGAGCATCGCAGCACGCAACTCACAGCTTCACTTATCTTAGGTAGCTCTTATCGGCAGTATAATCTCCCATTGTTAAATGAAAAGTTACCGGAATCGAGAAGCTTGAAAGCTTTTGATGAAATTCGCTTGGCTAGAAGATGGTTCCACTTGCTCATTAATCCTGTGCGAGGAAAATACAAGAAGGGATGAAAAATGCCATGTAGGTTTCCTAAGCCCTAGGTTACATAGGATATAATCATCTCATGAACACTGAAGACTGCAATGCTTATAAAACCTCGAACAAAAGATATTAGAATATGTATGAAAAGTCTCTGGACTTACATAAGAAAAAATGAGAGTGACTCTGCAACTTTTTTTCGGTATAAGAAGATGTACTGACAGAAGAACAGAAACTGCAACAAAACAAAGGAATCATGCAGATGATTTGGTGTTTCTAACGAAATTGACAGCAGACATTGTATCTGCGGAAGAAAAGAATATTCTCCTGTTCTGAACTCTTTAGTTCTGTGCTGACCTTTGCGAATTTTGAAGAAAATCGTAAAGGTCAGAACCAAGATTTACAGATTACAAGATATCATGAAATATGCACATTTGTTGGTCGTCAAAAACATTCTATCATTACAAGCTCTAAGACGAATCATGGATCGTTTACATTACTGTAAGATGGATTACGCTGGTAAACCTAATATATTCAATTTCTTCGTGAAAAACTACCATTTTATAGCTCTGATATATTTGATACACTTTGTAGTGAAAATTTTGAAGGAAATCTGTGTGATAGTGTTAAGCTGCTTGCACTGCACACTGCTCAGACTTATAATTCAAATTCATTGTCAAGGACATTGTTTGTATGCTTAGGCATATGATTTACCGTAAAATGCAAATTTTCTCTTGGCGTCAGCGACTTCGATTGAGATAGTTGCAGGCTTCCTGCTCTTTTAGAGACTCGATTAGGACAAAGTTTGGTTTCACTGGCGTAAAATCCTCTTGCAATCGTTTACCGCATTTCCACAGTGATGAAAAACGGTTGGATTCATTCCTTAGTCATTTTCTGAGTCGGAGTAGCCACCTAAAGCTGTACCTTGGGATTTATAGGCGTTGAATAAAGATTATTAGTCAACCCGCGGACATGTTACATTCCTCGAGACCCAAGGCTGCAGAAGTGAGAGAAACGATATTGTACGGGATTTCAAAGGCAACATTTGCACATTAGTTTCTAGATTTTTTTCGCAAAATATAGTTTTACGAGGTGCAGAATTTGAAGTGACAAATTATTGGTGCACAACTCAATCACATCAATGACCATTCAATGGAGATTGTTGACGAGACTATAAGCTCAGATCATGAAAATTCGCCATGCCAAACTGGAGATCTGTCAAGACAAATGGCCATACTTGTTGAGACAAAGCATGAACTTGAAAAAAGAAATGGCCAAAGCGTTGAATGGAAATGTGGCCGCAGAAAGGGAAGATTAGGAAACAGAAGAGCCTCGAAAATGTTATGGGAGATGCGGTTGATCAGGATCAGCAGATTCGGCAAACCGAGACCTTATGGTATATGGAATCTCAAGGCTGACTCAAGGGCAGTTACTGTTTAAGCTCAGTACATGTCAAGACAAAAACACGACAGTACCGAAAAATATTATAGTGGAATTAGAAAAATTTGAGATTTTCAATATCGTGACGTCATCGGTCTAAATACGGTTATCTTCCTCGTGTTGATAAGCGCGTCAGCTTTGTATTTTCCCACGCTTTGTTCTGTTCTGCGAATTTCTGTGCGGAGCATGATCAAACCGGGAAATGCAAAAAGAAAATGCGAAAGATCATGATCACTATGGTCACAATTCTTTTATTCAAACTTAGAATTACGATTACAATCTCAAAATTTCCACTAGAAGTTATAAAATAGAATAGCACATGCGCTATACACACTGACACTATATAATACTTAATCTAACACAATTAATAATCATATTGGTATCCTTCCATCCGAGTAACTTCCGATCCCATGTATTTTCCATCATGATCGGCTCCATAGTTTGGCGTCTGCGTGTTATACGGTTCCTAGGAAGAATTATTTGCATTTTGTAATGTTACATGAATGTCATCTTACGTCTATAATGGATGAAGTACTTACCGTTTCCTGATTTATTACTGGAGGGCTGCGGAGAAGGAACATTAGTGGAGCGTAAGCAAAATTGATTATAGCGATCAGGTACATCATCCTAAGGATATATGTGATAATATGAGGGGATAAATCTAACCTAACTTTATGCAAGAATCATTGTCTGCATACAAAGCACAGTATTTAGCTCTACTCTGATGCTAAAATATTCTGTAGAAAATTCGTAAGCCCCTGCCTTCGGCTACAACTTCTTCATAATGAACAATACAGTCTCTTTTATATAGGTTGCAACCATTACTTCTACAAAGTCCTAAACTTTCTCATTAATTCAATTTCAGAGTTGCCCGTGCCAGCATCATGCCAGCGCCACTTAAGCGCTGTGGGCAAAACTCGATCCGCACGCTGGCCATGAACGTGAGTGGCACGGCGCTGGCACAGCTCCGGCGCATGAGCAACTGTTGTCCCTAACGTTTACCACAACTTCGCATGTTTTTCATTCTATACTTAAGTGATAGAAGAAATTACTCACGTAGGGAATCCAACAGATCTTACGAGTGGTCCGGAGAAGAATGGACCGAGTGCGAACGCGAAACAGAAAGCTGCATCCGCAATTGCGTAGATGGAGCCATAGACTCCCACGTGTCGAATGTCCACCAAATAACCCATCAAGGGAAACATTGACGCATCAATCATTCCTAGATTTGTCTTAATAGTAGGCGACTAATGACTTAGGCATGCTACCAATGCTGAATCCCATGAAAAAGTTGGGGAATATGAGACCAGTGAGAGAGGTTGCCGATGGAATCGACAGTAGACAGAAGCCGATTACGATGAGACCGATGAAAGCTGATAGCCACCTGAAATGATTATGCAACTTCTTGAAATGATGTAAATAGGTAATTCACTGTACCTTCCCATTTTGTGGGCCAGTGGTCCGAAAATGTTCGTTCCGATAAGGTAGGAAACAGAAGCCGGAAGAAATGCAGCTCCTCTTTCAAGTGAGCCAGCCTGCCAAGTCTCCATCATCCACAGCGGTAGTGACGGTTCAAGCATTGCGATACCAAGATTACCAATGGTTATTGCTCCTAAATATAGTATTGAAATAAATATTAAGTTGGTAATACAATTTAGTTTTGGCAAAATTTCTACGAAAACATTCTTGTGCTTTTTATCCATGATATTTGACAGGGAAGAAATCAAAACTTCTACTATTACATATAAAGTACTCGGGATTTTTCATCAACAGTGAAGAGCAGATATGCTCCAATGTGGCCAAATTTCCAAAAGCTCAGTTCTTTGAATTCTAAGCTTCGTTTACATGCTGTATTGCATGCTGAGATGAACAATTTGGTATCCGGATACAAACACATTTTCCCTATTTGGCAAATACATAACAATAACATAGTGTTCTGCCATTTGAATCTGATAAGAAAACGATTTTTTTCACATTTGCTCACAAATGAAGAATTATATTTCACTTCTCTGCTCTTTATTTCACTGGAGGATCTAGTTAGAAAGAATTTACACTATAATAATCATCAAAGTGCTCTTCTTAAAGGTACCACATTGGACAAAAACTTGCCTGCAGCATTAGCTGGACCACAGCATGACCAAAATCAATTATTAGCCAACGTAATACTACGAAATGGGTTATACCGCAAAACTACTGTGATTTTTAAACTACAGCCTAAATTTAGTTTTTTCATCTGATTTCGGTAATTTCTGTGAATTTTAACAAGAACAGAGGTATTAAATGTGCAAGTAGAAGCGCTGGTATGCATGGTTTTCTTGCGCTCGAAATGGCAATTCTTCACAAAGTGTTGCTAAATTCTTGGAAAAAACTTCTAAAAAGGTTGCGCAAAAAGTTTGCTTGAAACTTCAACCATTCTTTGGGATGATGTTCATGAGTTTCTTTAATTTTACATCCTTTGCTAATCTGTCTTCGAGAGGATGAAAGATAAAATTTTTGCTAACCCGACTTCAAGAACATCCCGTGGACAAGTTTTTTTCACATCGTACAATCTGATTAATTTACTAATGTAGAACCAGAAAACTTAATTTCGCTACTAATCTCCTCGTTACATACCTCAAACGGAGCGAATGAAACTGGAGGTCCACCGCTCCCGAAATTCTTGGTAAGGGAGAGGGACTTCAACTTCTTGGTTATTTTGCTGAATTTGTTCTTTTTCCTATCCAACAGAAGGGAACAGGAAATGGTGCTGGATGAGGACATTTTTGGTAACTCCAGCTCAACGCCTTTTCAATATTATGTTCGATTTCAGAGCTAATCTCGTAGTCAATTTGGGGCACGTCAACTCAAGAGTCACCTGCATCTGACATTCGCAACGACATCGCATGCAAAAAGTTACCAATGCCTTTGCTTGAAAATAATTTTCAAAACACTATGGTTTTTACATTACCATTTCAAAAGCAGAAACAAGGAAAAGATCACAACTCCTTTTCGAATCCTTTTTGGCAAAAGTGGATTTTCGTGAGCTCTCTCTATCGGGTATCTTTTCTTTTCGGGACAATTATCCGTGCAACGGAAACTCGCAGGTAGCATAACTACATCGATCGCTAAGGAAACAAATGTAGTATTATGGCATGCAGCTTGCATTAATAAATCGTATTGCACTACACGAAAAAACTACGGGTAAACATATTTTTTTCTACCTGCGGCAACGATAATGTAAGGATCTTTGACTAGTTGTTTTATCGTCGAACCTTCCGGTTCACCTCGGTCTACCTTCGGCTGAAGTACAATAAACTGCAGAGCTGCAAAATAAACACATTTGCTGGGTGTTAGGAGCTATCGGGTTTTGTCCTTACATCCATCAAAAAGGGCTAGAAGAGCGAGAAGTATGAACGGTAGCTCTTTTCCCGCCCATTGGTAGAGAACTCCTCCGTACGGTGGTCCTACCAGCACTCCAAGGGCTATACCACCCAAGGCAATTCCCATTGCACTTCCTCGTTCAGCGTCATCCGGGTAAGCTTGGGCTAGCATACCCATACCTGAAAAAAGTTTCAGCAATCATAATACCTGTCTCTTCTTCAATAACCCAAAGGTATCTTACCGGAAGTGCTCGAACAAGCAGAACCCACGCCTTGCATGGCCCTTGCAAACCATAGGGTCCCATAGGATGATCCAAATGCGAACAGTACCGTCGATAGAAACATTATAACAAATCCTGCGAACATGGGCAGTGTGTAGCCAATTCTGAAAATTCCTCAATTCTCTCTGGCTACCAAGAATTCACATTTAGCTGACTTGTTTGTTAGCGGTCCTATCCATGGATTTGTGACTAATTGAACTAAAGCCTTTGAGCCAAACATTATTCCAACTAGCACATTTTCTTTCGCTAGAATATCATGTCTCTCGGTTTTTTGAAACGTATGAACGGTTGGCTCAAGTGGAGTTGGCCGCATTCGAGGTCTGAACAAAAGTTATCATAGCTTCAAGATTATCATTTTCCTTATCTGATTTTCTTAACTCTCGCTATATTCAACAGGCTGTTTCCGAGGAGGTTCCTTGTTTCTCTGTTTGGCCTTTTTACGACCTTTCTCAGGTTTCCTTTGGATTGCCAATGGATTCTCCTCCCAAGGAATGTCTTCTCCGGTTCTACCAGGCATAGGCATATCCCATGCATCGTCATCCCAAACTATCTAAAGATTTTTGCTTAGTAAAGATAGTTAGAAATCGAAAAGATTATCACACCTGTCTCTTTTCAATAGCGTGGTCTTCTTCAGGCTTGTTGTATAGAAGTTGATCGGTCGTATTTGGATGTGTAATTCTCAGTAAATATTCGGGAATTATGGGCACTGAAAACCCTCGGTCAGGACGAAAGTGGGAGGGGAAAAACTCACCGACTGTTGTTAATAACATATTATCCAAAAATAACGCAATGTAGACAATCAGTAAAAGGACCTTCCTATTGTTTCTGTAGTGGTTGATGGTTTCATTCAAAGTCATGATGATCTAAAACAGAAATGGATAGAGATTTTGCAGAGATAATGAAGATGCGCTGAATTATACAAGTATTGTACCAAAATTATTATAATCAGTACTGTATCTAAATAGCAGGATCAGCTTTTTTTTTGCCAAAATTGCGAAAGATGATACGGGCAAAACAAAAGGATTCTTAGACATATTATAGCAGACATTATGAACAACAGCAATGCAATTTTTGGATGATGTAGGCGGAGCGCTAGGCACTTACTCTCAGAATGCGAAAGGTTCGCCGATAATGTGAGATGAAGCAAGCTTCTGAATATATGGAGAATGGAAATGCTGATATACATAGAAAAAATACAGGAATTATAACAGTTCGGGTTCAAACTCATTTGTTTGGTAAGGTTAGAACTATCATCAAAGAATTACCAAACTCCATTTCTCTGTCCTATGACGGAGTAAAAATTTGCACAAGCTTTGACCTGAAGGCGACTCATTTCATAGAACGGAACTCCTCATAAATTGCATAATTCTTAATTTTGACTACTGATTTACATGCATTTTTGGATCGAGATACGTTCAGCTGGAGAACTTCTATGGAAAAAACTCCTGCATCAAAAATATCTCGAGTTATGTTAATTTAAATCACCCACGTTTCAAAAATATTTGAATGAAAATGAAATCAATCACAATAACTGCGACGTTATAATCTTCTATGAAGTGTTAGTTACTCAAAAGGAGACATAGTTTGTTCTGTAAGTCTTTGTAAGCTTACAAAATTTTGAAAACTTGTGACTATTTGTCCTTTCAACAAATTTGTCTAAACCAATGCTAGAAAGAGGAAATCTTGCGATTTTCATCCATTTTCAGATCATATTGATACAAGCTGATCAAGAGGACTCAAACTGTAATTTTTTGACTATTTCTTCAAAAATGTCAAAAGGTGAGAATACTTCAATTTTATTTTTAGTCGTGGTTGTACGACCTTATAGATCAACCTAATGCTAATGTGTTTGAATAGATATTAAGATAATCGCAATGTATTTAGAATTCATCAATCATTTTGGAGTTTTCGTAGCGAGCACATAGTAATGATTTCGACTACTCACTTTTTTGTGTGTTTCTGGATTACTTTTGAGGAATGCAATTTTCATTCTATATACATTGTACATTTTGGAATAACATGAAATTGTTTTCTGTGAGAATTTAAAAGTAAGTAAGACTGTATCATCCTTGTATCTACTCAACTATATCATCCTTGTATCTACTTAAAGTGAGTGATTTAGATGTTAGTATAATTTTTAAAAACAATTTAAAAAAAAGGAAAATTTAAAAATCTACGGTTTCACTATAAAGAGCCGCTTTTTGAAGTGTATGGCGTATTAGAATGGTAAAATGACAGAAGTTCCCCCGGAAAAGATTAAATGCGGTATGTGCCACGATCCGCGTGTGTCCGAATCGTTGATCTGCAGTCGCTTGCTTAGTTAGTTTTCCTGCACTCAAGATATCAATTTCCCACAAAGGTGATTAGTAGTGTACACCTATGTCAAGAAATCTGATATAGTCGTAGTGTCGTGTGAGGGTGGGGAAATAGCGGCCAAATCTCTAAATCAACCAGATCTAGACTTGAAAAATAAGACAAATGACGAAGGTTTGTGTGGGGTTACTTTCACAGCTCCCCAATTATTCTGAAGTGGTTGCTTTTGGAGATGACTTCGCACGCACTAACACACTTCAGATAGCGAAGCTTCACAGACCTCAGCTAATCCGTTTCTCTTTTCAGAACTTTTGCTGGGTTCCATTTGCATATTTTCTGTATGAGGTGGAAGAAACTGTTCGCTGGAAGTGCTAGAAAATGAACGGAGCAATCCTGCAAGAGTCGTAAGGAGCGGATTTTTCCATCTGTCACTAAGAAAAACTGGAAACTGATAAATTGACACAAAAACCATTTTTGCCAAATAATATGGGTTGGAGAGAGAGACAGCTGATGTTAACACCTTTCAAACTGTACGGTTTTCCCTGAAAAAATAAGGAAACAAAATAGTGGTCAACCTTCTCTAAAGCTCTTGTAATTCGCTACATATCCGCATCTTGTAAGGACAATTGTTGATTTATTGGGTCACTAGTGAAGCAAAACCTAAAAGTAATGCAGCCCAAAGCGGGCCGTTAGATGTCCATTTTTAGTTCTATATTCTAAAAATTGCGTAAGTACAAGGTAATTTCTTTGAGAGTGTACATACAGACAAAACCAAGTGTGAATTATCAACCAATTCTTTCCTTTCTGTTTTCGATACCTGTTTTGATCGATATACTTGCTAAAAATTCATAAAAGCTTTGAAGGACTGAATTCTTGTACAGCGTGTTTGAATTCCAACCTAACAACAAGGTTTACCAAAAGCCGCTCCCTACAATAAATGTCCGAAAATCGAGAGCATGCAAATGAGGGACTTTGAAAGTCTTTGAACCAACTTTGGTCATTGTGATGCCATGTTGGCAACTATGCCAAACTAAATACGTAACGTAGGTGTCCAAAGTTCAATGAAGCGAAAACTTGGAGGTGGTGCTGTGTTGAGTAGTTGAGATGCGAGCTCATATGGTAGGAAATGAGTTGATGCTAGAAAATGCATAACAAATGTGTTCTGTAATTTATAGCTTTTGGGTAAGTTACAGAATCGTCTGGCATTGGCGAAAAAGAAATCTGCAAAGGTGGATTTCGGTTTGATAAGGCGGTTATTGCTTACTAGAACTAGAAAGGGTAACTTGAATTTAGATTCTTCAACAGCCTTTGCAAGTAAAATGTGATCAGACAAAAAAGCACTCAAGCTAAGAGTAGATTATAATATAGACAGTTCTCAATATTAGGTTGTCTCAAATCGATCCACTTTTTTGGAATTCAACTTTGAATTGAGATAGATCCTCTGCAGATAAAACAATCCTAAGCTTAATAAAAACAACTGCAAGCAGTAGATCTGCTATACAACACATGCTTTTGTATAATCTTAGCCACTACGAGGAAGATTTTCTAGCCTGAAAAATGCTTAAAAGTTCTGCCAATACCTATAGTTTGAGATTGTTGCTCGCAAATGTACTAGGTTAGCGTGCTAATTGTAATTATGTTGAATGTATGAGGGATGGTCGGTCGAAGTGAAGTGAAACTTGAATTTTTACAAAAAAAACTTTTTGAGATATTGCATATCAGTTTTTTCGACATTTTAGAGAAGGCAGAAAATGCCTTTTTGAACTGATTCTTCCCTCTAAAATATGAGGAGACATCCTGCTGCCCCCTACCATTAGTTGGACTAAGTCCACCTTAGCTGTACAAAACAATAGCTCTCTTTTCACCGAAGAATCAGCTATTAGTCGGGTTTGAGTCGAAATTTCTTGCCTCAGATTTCACAAGAATCTAGTCTATGCAGAGTTTGTCTCAATCGGGATCAGACCAAGCCTTGGCTGAATTTGCGCGTTCGCAGCGCTAGGGGTTCGCTCTGCGTATGTGCGCTCGGAGAGAGCGAAGAAATTGAGGAGAGAGCAGACAAGCTAGACGTAGACGTGACGCAATCGCCACACGGACTCCCGCCATGCCAATTTTGGCCTGGTTGGGATCGGTACAAAAAGCACTTGATTGCACAGGATTTCGTAATCATTGTATTTCGAACACATGCGACCACTTTTCTTGGATTTGGAGCAAGAAGAATGAAAGGAAAGAAATTGAGTTTTATTGCCATATTTTTGGCACTGAATACTGGAACAAACACCTGAGAAAATAAAGCATATTTGAGGAACTTAAAAAACCATAGAAAGTTTTCGAGAAAAATGGTTCCTTCTTGGAAATCAGCTTCTGAAAGAAAAGGCCATGAAAATGTGCATCAGTATGGTACAACCTAATATATACCTGGAACAATAGCTTGCAAAAGCTTCCTTTAATAATTCAATAAACCAACAAAAAAATTCAAAGCTATGCAGCTCGAAGCAAGATTAGCCGTCCAAATTTAGGTTTATAACAAAAAATATGCATGACATGAGAACAAAATGATTTCTTCAAAATTGACCAGAGCAAAGCGAGCCTTTGAATAGCATGTCTCAACTCAACCTCTGCGATCAATAGTTGACAACAACATTACCTGGATTTGAGATACTTTTTGTTAGTGCATTCTTGATTCCATAAAATGTTAGGAAAAATCGCTGCAGAAGGATCTGATTCTGTCCGGGCTGGACGAAAAACACCGCAAGCTCTCCTCTTGGTTTCTGAGGTCCCTCATCTGGTGCAGAGAAAATTGTTTTGATTATGCATGTCTAATCAATACTGTTTACTTATTCCAAAATTGTTCTACCAACAAGTTGGCTTTTTCATACCCATAGCAGCGCATATGTTGGTGACGAACTTAGCACGTCAGAATTTCTGGCCTAGGTAATTGTCTGAAAACATGACATTCCGCAAATCTTCAAATTTCTTTCACTCAAGACAAAAAGAGGTCGAACTTGACTTGCAGTGAGATTTTCTTATATTTTAGACCCGCATCATGCCCGATTTTTTATTCGGTACCGAGCAACAAAAACAAATGATCGTTGAGATACTTGTCTACCCACAATCGTTTGATTTTTTGGTTGCTCTCATTCGAAATCTATCACACTTTCTCAGTGCATCTATTGCATATCTTCGTAGTATTTTTAACACTCGAAAAACAAGCACGATAGTGGCGTCTGTGTCACTTTTTTGAACTGCTAATTGTCATCCAGAAGCTACATATGTCTCAGCAATGGACTCTGCACTGTTTCCAAGACAAGTAATCTTGCAGAAAGATCAGGGATCAGGGTAACCGCTAATTTTGGACTGACAGTGGCTTCCGATTTACATCGTTTTTCTCACATACTTCTTGGATGAACTGCATCATGGAGAATGTGGCAGGGTGTCTCCTAATTTTAAGCGTTTTTACTAAAACCATTTTTGTATCTTTCCTTCAATTGATGTGGCTCGAGCAATCATTCGACAGCGCAAAGGAAGGTCTTTAAGATGTCCATTAGGAGTCTGTACACATCGTCTCTCACGTGAAGTTTCACGCTGAAATCTCCTACCATATGCTTGACATATCGAACATTAAATTGTACACCTTTTGTATTTTTTCCATGGCTAGAAATAAAGAAGACATGAATGGAGAATGGCAAACTCCGCCTTTAAATGTCCTGAGCTCGTCCAACGCACGTGATCATATAGTACATACATACAAAAGTATGATCATGTATTTGTAAACTTTGTAGGTGCTCCAGTTCTGAATGCATGCTTATGGTATTATAGAAACTTTAAAATAATTATGAAACACCTTAATATTGTCTACAAGAATTCCAAAGCGGTCGTCTGACAAGTGAGAAAAATTACCAGACAAAAAAAATCATACAAACAAAGCAACCCATCTTATATATAAAGCTGAATGTCTGTTTGTCTGTATGTCTGTCTGTCTGTACGTATGTTCCGAATAGAAAATTCCATTTCTGAACCGATCCGGACCAAACTTGGCACACATACACTACGGGCCCCGGCGGGTGTCATAGGCTACTTTTCGTCATCGATCGATATCGATGTTATCGATTTTTTGCAAAATTTGGGCTACGGGGCTGGGAGTTGGCACAGGGGGGTAATCGAGCATGCTGATCACCCCCGTGCTCAAAAAATCTACAAGATATTTAACCCAAGCGGGATCTTCTTATCAACGCCAAAAACTGCTCCGCGTTCGAAGGCTACATAATCTATCTTAGCCTTTGATTGTGAGGTCACTCCAGAAATACCCTGACCAGAATGACGATATAGCCCTTTGCTACATAAATATTAGTTACTGTTTATTTCGCCTCGATTCTAGGATTTTAGCTTCCATTATTTAATTAATGTGTGTGATAAATGATTGCCCTATCACTAGTATATGTCAGAAAAAAATGCAGGCTCCAAGATTCCTACAACCGTTGGCGTAAAAGTACGTTCTTATCTGTTCCATTCAAGTGTAGCACTTTTTTGACAGCTAATCTAATTGTTACAAGTGCAAAAAATGGAGATTAGACTAGCTACCCAGTAACTTTTTCTTGCAGAAATTCCATTTTTTGATATGATGAACGGATTTACGTGGTTTTTCCGAACATATTCCATCGAAATAGCTTTGTCGAGCTTAGCTCATTCTTAAGAGGTCCAGCTCTCACTGTTTACTTATTTGTGTTTACCATTCTCGCATAAGTGTTTTGCGCTAGTTTTTTTTCACTTCCTCTCTTAACGTTTTCATATCTATCTTTCTTGCTACTTTCAAACTTCAAAACTATTATCGATGAATTTTTCCACGACTTTATCCCCAAACTCCGCGCCACCTTTTATCTCTGCCCACTTGCTGTCTTGCGGTGTTTATCAACGAACCCCCTGTTCTGGCCATATGGTGCTCGTTTTTCTACCGCATTCGGACGATCTCACTAGGTTATAGGTAGGTCAGGAACAGGCCAATTACCGTATTCTGGGCATATGCTCACTGTATTACTCCTCATATTGGTCTGCCTAGTACTGTTCCTCATCTACAGGTAATAACATTAGTTAAGTGGCATGACATTGCATTTGAATTCTGCCTTTAGGCGCCGCTATGATCAGAACATTTTGCTAAATTGTGGTTTTCCTGTACTACCTGCTCGGCATCTTATTTTGGAAAATTTTGGTGTATTTCAATCTCCAAATGCTACCTTCACATTCGGTGAAATATCTAAGCAATATGGTCCTATCTATGGAGTTATGCAAGGAGGATTACCTACTGTCATAACTAGCGATGTGGACGTTATCCGTGATATTTCGCTCAAATCTTTCAGCAGTTTTCACGGAAAAATGGTACATAAAAATATTTTATTAACATTTGGCCCCTTGATATTTGAATTTGATATCGTTCAGCCGGTACCGATTGATCCTGACCCCGTGTCGGCCGAGATGGTGCACATGTTCGCATCCAGAGGTGCTCGATGGAAGAGAATGAGAGCGATAACGAGTCAAGCAATGTCAGCAAAAAATATGAAACAGGTCAAAGAGTGTTCAGCTTTCTACAGTATGACGCATAACACTGTAGAAAAGACTATTTATTTCAGCTTTTTCCCATCGTTGAGGAATCAGTGTACAGCTTTCTGAGCTTTGTCGAAAAATTGCCTATACGAACCACGCTAGAAGCGCATAAGTGCGTAAGTTTTCACCTCACTCTTAAATTTCTCTTCATCGAGTTTAATTCTATCTTTTAAATTTTAGACTATTTCAAAATCATACATCTGATGTCTTGGCTCGATGTGCTTTCGGCCAGACGCAATCGCTTCACCATGACAATTTATACCATAAAATCTTCTCCCAGGCTTTCGGTAATGAACCGAAACTTCGCACTTTTTGCTGGGATACCGTATCAGGTAAGTTATGATCATAAGTAAACGATGATTATATAGTAATGTGATGCAAGTCGTTGCCTTGATTTATTATCCAAAGAACAAATATGGTAATCTATGCTGCGGCAGCATCATTTATCAGTTGAATCACACGCAATATTTTGAAGTGATGTTTCTCTATTTTTGATGTTTCTGGAACGAAGACGTTAGGAAATGACATCTTGGAAATTCTGGGTTTTTCAAAAGGCGCAGACCAAAAAAACGATAAAGTAGCTCATACTGTTTTTCTAAGATTTTTCCTACTTCATTTCCTCAGAATCAACAAAATGTGGATATGTTATGTTTCTTATGAGGCCACGATTGGCTTTACCATTGCCCCCCCCCCCCACCCCACGAATGGGTGGCGATTTGAGAGTAGCCTTCAAATGGTACAGAATTGCGCAATGGATTTGCTTTCACTCCTCGATAAAAATTTATTTTCACAAATTTTTGAGAATTTAAACCAGCCTCGAAAATTTCCTTGAAGAATCATCTAAAAAATGTGTAAGTGTGCAATATTCGGAGTGCCTAGCTGACAAGCTATTTTCATTTAGATGTGTATCTTAACCTTCAATCATTCGAACTCCATTTCAGTTCTTGTCTTTATCACTTCTATTTTGGATTTTTGTGGTTGTCTTCTCACATGACACATATATTTCGAAGCAGTCCAATTCACAGAATAAAACAATTCGAAATCAATCTCCATTTCGGAAATTTCATGTTTATACAGCAGAGAAAAACGGTGCCACCTAAAATAGGGATTATATTAGGTTGGACCAAAAGCTCGTTCGCACCAATTTCAAAAATTCATAACTCTTTAAATTCTTAGCGAATTTGCAAGAACAAAATTTTTTCTAAGAGAGGAACTCATGCTCTTTGCATCTGTACCTGAACTGTTCGTTAATGTGTACAAATGAGGCAGATAGAAGCTCGAAACCAAGATCACTCAAAATTTGAATTTTTCGTGTAGGGTCATAAAAAATCGGAAACCTGCAACAAAAATCGGAGCATTCGGTGTTGCAGATTCTTTCACCAGCTCTTTCCAACAGTGCAAAGTTTGCGCCGATTGAGCGTCTCTGTGAAAAGTTATGATTTTCGAGCAAGCAATACGAAAGAGCGAATTTGATTTATTTTGGCATTTTTCAGGGAAATCGTAAGTTTTCACAGAGACGCTCAATCGCCGCAAATTTTGCACTGTTAGAAAGAGCTGGTGAAAGAACCTACAATACCGACTGCTCCGATTTTTGTTGCACTTTTCCGATTTTTTATGACCTTACACGAAAAATTCAAATTTTGAGTGATTTTGGTTTTGAGCTTCTATCTTCTTCATTTGTATACATTAAGGAACACTTCAGGTACAAATGCAAAAAGCATTAGTTCCTCTCTTAGGCAAAATTTTGCTCTTACATACTCGTTAAGAATTTAAAGAGTTATGAATTTTTTAAATTGGTACGAACGAACTTTCGGTCCAACCTAATAGTATTCTAAGCATAACCGAACTGTGCCGATTAAAATCTTTTTGTGGCTACATATTTTCCTTGCGGTTACTTCTGTTCACAATATATTATTATATTTCATTTTAGTTATTGAAAAATCAATCCGTTTTTATTTCAGTATGCTTTCCCGAACTCGCATGGGTGCTTCGAAATCTCAAAAGACACGCTGAAAGTGTTGCGAGCAGATTTCTTGGCACGGCACCATCGCCGCTTGCTACGTTCTCGAATTATCTGGCTAAACTGAGAAACGATAGACAAGCAAATGACGAGAAGTGCGACTTCCTACAGTTTTTCAAAGATGCCGAGGACAGCACATTTAAAGGATTTTTGAATGAACAAGTGTCGGGAAAAATCGATGTCAGCACTATACGGATCAACAAGACAATGGCACCAGGTGTGAGTTTTTGAACGTTACCGATAAGTGGAGCAATAGCTGAAAAATATTTTTGTAATTATTTTTGTAGGAAACAGTGGCACAATGTCGTTTCATCTCAGTTGCTGGTTTTGACACCACTGCCAATACTCTTGCCTTAGCATGCGATCTTTTATCAAAAAATGAAGATAAACAGGTTAGTATGGTCTCATCAGGCCTTATCCAATTATTTATAATCGTTCCTTATAATTCAATACCTTATAGCATCTTTTACTAGAAGAAATCGACTCCTTTCCCAGCTTTACCTATGACAATATTCAGTCAATGGAATATCTTCACAACTGCATTTTTGAAACCTTAAGATTGTACCCACATGCTTCTCCGTAAGTCTGTCTACATAATATCTAAACTTCCGGACCAAAAAGCACATTTTAGGCTCCAAAATCGCCTTTGCATGGAAGACTGTTTTGTAGGTCCATACAAATTTCGCAAAGGTGTCAGCATAATCATAGATCCGTGGTCCGTCCACCATAATCCTAAAATTTGGGGAGACGATGTGGAGGAGTTCCGTCCGGAGCGGTAAACATTGTTTTTTTTTGTAATATTCTGGAAAATATCTTTTTCAATAGGTTCAAATCTCTAACGACGGAACAGCTACGAGCTTATATGCCATTCGGGCTCGGCCCACGTCAATGCGTCGGCATGAGATTTGCCTTAATGGAGATCAAGTTAACGCTATGTATGTTTTTGTCAAAGTACAAATTGCGAAGGAAGGATCCAATGGACAAGGTGAAGAAATGAATTTTCTTTCTTTCACAATTGTGTGCCCTAAAATTTGTATATTTCGTAATTCGTATGATGTAGTACAGCTTGCATAACTTAACCGTGCTTGAAGCAGTAATTCGTATTGGAATATTGGGGAAATAAGCCAATAAAACAATCAGATCTATTTTACTAAATTCTGAATGCTAAAAATGACAAAAAAAAAAGTCCAGTATAACCTAATTTCAAGTTTTGGTTATGGATTTGCGGCCTACTCCCAATTGAGAGGAGTTAATTTTAAACTCAAGCATTTTCGAAGTTCGAAACATTTTCCTGTTTTCTGGTGTAAAAGCATTTCAATAATAGAGTCAAATTTTCATTTATTCTGGTTTAGACCTTATGGATTTTGTACCAATATTCCTCGTTCCAAGGTAAAGTAAATGTAATAATGTTATTTTTTCTCAGCGAGTCCAGTGCAGTAACTTTTTTTCATAAAGAACCAAACTTCACACTGCTCGAATTCTCCAAATTTGCAGTTTATTCAGCCAAAAAAGCGGAAAAGTGGAAAGGGAAGGTCAACAGCATGCACTCAAAGTGCCACCGACAGTCATGAATGAATATTGATTGCACTTTTTCTGGGGAAAACATGGAAAATCTTTTATTGAAAAGCCATTCTCAGCCTTAACTTCCCAGTTTCAAGCAGAAAAATTTTTTTGTTTGGTCTCACTTAGCTTACATTACTGAGAAAACTTTAAGTTTTTTTGCTGCCGCTTTTAGTTCTATTCTATCTACAGAGCGATCAAATGAATCTACTATGTACTGCAAAAAAAATTTTCCAGTAAAATTCTCGCACTCAGCATTTCTAGCCAATCCTAGTCAGTCCCTCATCGGCAAGAATTCGCGTAATTTTCTTCGAATTCGTCAGAGCAGTCCGAGGAATCGATGCCGTCAATTGCGAGCAATGTGCTTGCTTACACGTGAACAGCACACGCTTAATTGTTGCAACGATTTTCTTAAGAAACACACAAGTATTGAACTCTATAACTTCCCTTTGCAAACAGCATTCGTTTTGAGAATAAAAAGATGCAAGCATTCTGGACATAGATTCAAATTTAGCTTCTGCAGACTAAGACGCTAGGCAACGTACAACTAGAATCTTATCTAACACTGCAAAAAATGACAAAACACGAAGCTTGTAGACCATTTAGAGCCCCAAAAAGACTCTAAGTTTTAACTTCAGAAGAGTTGAGAGCAATATGCTTATAAGGAATTTTTTATACGATTTGCTTACTACAGCAGCTTTCCAGTTTTGTTGACATACCATCTATTTATATATTCGCAAACTGTACACTTTGCTGAAGCTGTGCTGCAACCCTGATCAATACCTTTTTGCTTTCCCGCCTTTTATCGCCATTTTTCTTACTTTCAGCGCTCATCGCTGATTTTCAAAATCACTCTATTTGTACAATTATTTCAGATTACAATGACCCTACGAGACACAGGGACAGTTTGGCCAAACAGAGTGCTCATACAACTCGAGGAACGGCAATGAGATGTGTTTTCGCTAGGTCCCTTTTCAGAATAAATCCATGCCCGACGCATTTGCGATTAGGTCTCCCTGGAGATGTGTAATGCGTGTATTCTAATGCTTAACTTATACGTGTAGCTGACGATACTGGTCTTTGAAACATTTTATCATGTCATTTACAGTTTTCTATCTTGACAGGAAAATAAAGTTGATGAAAATGTTCAATTTGCCTGCGTGCGATGAAAAGAAAAATCCTGATTCATACGTCAAAAGGGGCATAACAAACACAAAAGTTGTTTTTCTCAATGTAAGCTCTCATCAGCAAGTTCTCTAGCTCAGGTTGATGCCACATACTGCCATAGGCTACATCCAACTGAACATGCTTGAATCTAAAGTACTGGATAAGATGATATTTGCATTTGATATGTTGATTTGAGATTTCGCTTACTGAAATAAAAACTCAACAATTGTTTTGTTCAAACTCGTGGCGCATATTGGGGTGCCACTATGATCTAGATAAGGACATGTTATGCAGATTTTATCCAGATATGGATGACAAGTAGATTTGTTGCCGTTACGCATGTGGATGACATGACAATAAAATTTGTTTTCGGTTCCGAATACATGTTTTTGATTTCAAAAGTGATCTAGAATGTACTTGTGGCTGACACTAGGGTAAACACAATAAGAGCTTATAAAATAAAGGCGAAATGCGCTACAGATGATAAGAAATTCGAGAATAAGAATGAGAAAGTATAGCAAATCATGATTTGATTAGACATAATTAATAATAAAAACAATAAAAAATATAAGAAATTGTAAATTATCAAAACATATAAACAACAACTGCTGATTACGCGACAATTACCCGGCTAAGTGTGAAAGAATCGATAAATCGATAATTCAGTAAGGGAAGTGGTAAAAAATTATTATTCGCGGTAGGCATGTCACCTACTCCGCCAATAGCTTGCCAAAGGGTTAATCGCAAAAATCGATACATCAATGAAGCCAGTCGGATCTCAAAATTCTTTCCATCATACTGAGCAGGTCATATAAAAAGTCTAATCATATCTACCTAACATATAAGGAATCGTAAAGCCAATCAAAAAACATCAGACAGCGAGAAACTGCGGTGAGGTCCCAAAGCGCACGGATGCAAATCTAGCTCGTTTGATTACTGGTCCACCAGTATCATATAAGTATAGCTGTTGATAGCCGAAGCACAAGATTTTCGCTCACTTTTAATTACTGTGTGCTTTTCTACTCAAAACAGATATAGAAGAGTTAATGACATGATTTTATAGCAATTTGTTGCATAGCTTCTATGTAACAATAGCTGCTTATCTCAAATTCGAGTGCCAACTGTCAAAGGACTACAGAACACATCTGTGCAAATAATTTATTACTGGAAAAGACAAAACAACTTGCAAGATTGTCCTGTCATGTCAGTTCATTCAAGAAACCGTAATTACGTGAAAGCAGTTACGATTATCGCTCGATAGTCGTTCCTAACGACTCTTCGATCTCGTAATGACAGGTCCACCGTTGGACCTGTCATTACCGTAGAGCGCCGCCCCGGGAACCTGTCTGATCTTATAGTTTACATCATCTTACTAATCATTCCGCTTTCAATTTCTATCTGACCGAGGATCGTCTCCACTTCTCATTTACAGATGACCGTCGACGAAACGGAAGAAACACTTGCACGATTCCGAGTCTCTAGGGAGCTAGGATTTCTTACACAATGCGACATGAGGAAAATTCCCGATTATTATCGGCCGTGGATTATACTTTGTGGTTTGTCAGTCTGATTTTTCAAACTCAAACAGATTTTGTTAGCTATTATAACATCTGAGCTGCTTCGCTGCGGTGCTAAAAGTGACAGAAGTGACATTTTTATAGTGCTAATTAGTCCTTATAGTGCAGCAGACGCTATAGTAGAATAGTAGTTGCTTTGAATATCACGAAGCTAGCAAAAAAATGGCTGAACCCATTAGGTGGTCGAAAATTTCTGCTTTTGTCTAGAACAAATTGTACTGCAGAAAAAGCAAAAATGGTCCAAGGTCAGTAATCAGGTAGCTTTCACCTTTTCACAAAAAGTGGCTACTTCTCACATAGCTAATACAGAGGTGGTAAAACTTTTGATTTAGTTGATTTTGATCTTCTCAGCTTTACAGTGGAGTTAATCTCATTATTTTGCTCACAATTATTTACCACCTCGCTCAACCAATCATCTGCAAATTTCAACACCAAGTAAATGATCATCTATTAGGGATAAACAAGAAAAATACTTAGAATATTAGATAGATCAATAAATAAAGGTGAGCGATTGGCAAAAATTAATGGATCACTACATAGATACCTGGAGTTAATACGAAAAGTTTTTGCTGTTACCACCTCCAGTCTCTTTATTTATATAAGTTTAATAGGCTTAATTCGTTTCTAATGGCACAATTATAGATGCTATGGTTGAACTTGTCAAGAATAATGTTGTACGTGAAGCCATTCTATTCCTTCCACAGCTTGATACGAATAGGCTCGTGACTTATGAGGATTGGAGGACAGCGCATCTGCTCTTGGTCACAATCGCATCAGGATATTTATGGAGCGGCAAGCCTAGTGATGTAAGACCTCTCAATCTTCCAAAGAAATCTGGAAGAAAATTTTTATGAGTGATTTACCATTATGGATTGACAGCATTTTGAATTGAATCTTGTTGAAAGCATTATTTGCTTACCATCTATATGCTTTATTTTTGGCTTTCTCCAGTGGGCAGAGAAATTTGCAATTGCTTAGAACTACTTTGTCTCTGAGGCAAATAATGTGACGAAAGCATGGCAAGAACTTGAATTATGCGAATTACACGGGGTTGAAAAAAAAGCTAGTGATCGGGATGCGAGGAAGATGTAAAAACGAGCTTCCTTTTAAGCTTTCTAATGAAAATAGCTGTGGGTCATTTGTGAGCTTTACACAAGTCGAAAATTTCATAAGTGAACATATAAGTCCCAATAGATCAGGAGTTTGATTTGTATCACTATTTTAGTTAATATCAAAATTTTTAGGTGTTATAAGTTCATGTCGATGTTGTCTTTTTTGTCGCGTCCTGGGTAAACACAAAGAAAACAAAAACTAAAAATAACAATAAATTCGACAAACTCCAGTTTCTGCTTTGATCGTGAAGACTAGACGGAAATCAAGATAAATGGTACGGCCTTCACTAATTTCAGGAAGTGTGGGAACGTCGTATAAATTTTAAATGTGAATAAATAAGAATAGAGTGAGATAAGCTCCCTGTATGAGTTGAATTAAATGACTAAAAAATGAAATAAAACTGTCAGTAGTGCCACCAATAATAACAGCTAATTATAACAAATGGCAATATTTTTATGCTGAAAAATTTCAAACTTTTTCCAAACGCATGATTTTTTCTCCTAGGCCCCTCTCGTGTTGCCAAAAAACATCTGCGCTCCACTTGTTTCGGTCTCGGAACGGCTAGGATTGCGACCAGTCATATGCCATGCATCTGCTTGTCTTGCCAACTGGCATCTGATTGACAATAGCCAGCCATTCTCACCAGATAATCTACAGTTGAATGCGTTCACATTTCTCAATACAAAAGGAAATCATTGGTTTTTCACCGTCACTGCACAGGTCGGTAAATTACGCGTTTTATGGAATAAAAATTGTATTCACATTTGACTAGTTAGCTTTTAGATCGAGAAAGATTTCGGACCTTGCACCTATGAGATCGTACGAGCAGTGCTTTATACAAAACGAGGAAAACCCTACAATTTGGATATAGCAATTTCATCGATAACAACATGTTTATACAACGCTGGGAAAACTATGACGGTATATTTTTGCCTTTATAAAAAGCATCTAAAGGCCTAAAATCTATTTCAGAGAATGGGAGAGTTCCTATCTGCTAAAGAATTCTTCCATGAACTGCGTCCGTTCCTTTGGGGGTACAATGAGGGTTCACTGAAAGAAAGCGGAATTCTTTTTGAAGGTTATTGTCTTTGGCCTTTTACATAAATCATAAATCTTTTCAAACTTTGAAATCTAGCTATATTCTAGGCATGGAACATCTGGGTCACTTAAAATATGGAGGTGGTAGTGCTGCTCAAAGCTCTACGATACAGCTTATCGACGCATTTTTGAAGGTTGAGCATACAGGTAAGAAAAAATAAATTTCGAATTCAGAGTGATTTAGTAATGGCACCGTTCTGTTACTGCGTATTTCATTATTATTATTCACGATCTTTGCTATAATGTGGTATTTGACATCCAAGATTTATTTTTTTTATAAAATTATTCGAGAAGGATTTACCATTCCTTGAATTAGGTTTCACTTATGGTTTCTACTTTTGTAAAATTATACAAAATAGACTTTCAAGGCAAACATACAAAAAAACAAAACTTTATTTTCAGGTGCTGACAACGATTTTCTAATTCAACAACGAGAATACATGCCAAGAGAACATCGAGAATTACTTGAATGGGTTGAAACATCTACACCAGTTCAGAAATTTACGCCAAGACGTGAAGAAGCTCTCGAAGCTCTTAGAGCGTTCCGCTCGAAGCATCTCAATCTTGTAAGCTATATCTATTGATTATACGATATTTTTTATCGATATATGTAGGGGTTAAAGCAAATTTATTTGGAGCTTTAGGTTGCCCAATACATTCTCTCGCAAATAGAGAGTCCCGCATCGACCACAGGAACTGGTGGAACACCGTTCGTGAAATTTTTGAAAAATTGTAGATCTGACACCAAATGAAACTTCCAAGAAAAATGAATTAGGTGAAAATAAATGTTCGAAATGTGTTTCAATTATAGCATGATTTATCGTGATTCATAAAGTATACGTGTCTGAAATCCCATTAGCATAAGCCCCACTTGTTGACGAGCACTACAGCGGCTGCGCTTTCACCTGGGGAATCATATACTTCATAGAATTTTGAGAGGATTCATTATTCATATATTTTACTTCCTACCTCTACTTGTTGCGAAGTTAGTATGATTAATTCTTCTGCTTCATTGTTCTGGCCTCATTTTTTCGTAAATATATAATATTTACTTGTAGCTCAAAATAATCGCTTTTAGGATGCCTAAAAACGTCGACGAAAATGAGACGTTAATGCTTAACTGAAAATAATCCCATTACAGAAAGTGCTGTCTGCTGATAATACTCAAATTTCCAAAACCAAGAATAGTAATTTGGACAAAGCCTTGAATTTTCTAGTGAACTACGAAAATTTCTATGTTTTTTTTTTCTCCATTTACGAATCCGTAAAAAATTCAGATTTTTATTGGCACTGAGAAGAGCAACCATTTTCGCGACCATTTTGAACGGGATCAATGAAAAATCGTACAGCTTCCCCTTTGCCTCTGCCATGTTGAGCTAAATGCACTTTTAGTCAACAGTTTCATAGTCTCACTTCTCCACCTCTGCTTTTTGAAATTCTTATGTAAAATATGTAATGCTGTTTTCTTCTTACTTATTGAACGGTTGCACATCTTATTGTGAAGATAAGTTCAAAAATATTTTTCGTGGAGAATATGATTGAAACACATTTCAAACCGTCCTCTTACTGCTCCCGATTCTGTCAAAAATTCATGTAGTTGATTCACTTTTTTAGTGAGGATAAATTTAGTAGTTTACTACATTTCATAGCGATTTATTACTCTGCTTGTGTGCTTTCGGTTCCATAAAAGCCTCAATGATTGTGTTTACGCAGCTATTAAAGGCATCGCACAACTTTTGCTGTGGAAGAGTCGGATTTCATACGCTATTAACTGAAGCGTAAGGTAAACAGAAGTTGGGAATGAACATTTCGTATGCGTATCGAAATGACGTTATTCTATTTTTGTTCGAGGCATCACACAGGCCTTGTTCGAGTAACTAAAGTGCTTTTGAACTGTAATATAATCTGCTCTGTTCGACATTTTCAGGAACTTCTTGGAAATGTTTTACTACGTAGTGAATTTATGGTAATGTTTATGGATTCTGCTGTCACCGAAAGACTGAGTTCTACTCGCTGGGCTTTGAAGTCTGCACACTTGAGTACTTCTATGAATTTTAGCCCAACAAGTAGACAATAATTTCCATAGACGAGGTTTCTTACCAGCAAAAATTTTTTTGAGATAAAATTGTTATTCCAACATGAAAATCCGCTCTCAGAATGTCAAATAAAGTGGCTAGACTATCAGCAGTAGATCAAAAGCCATCATGGCAAAACAAAATAAAGCCTTAAAGCAACACGAAAACCCGCTCGAGGAGATGTTACCTAGACAATTTTGAAAGAAAATAAGCATGACGACCCACGGCAAATACGATTACAGAATAATTAGCATTCAAGTTGTTGTTTTCTCTCTATGCCTCACATTTGTGACCATTTCCGTCCCCTACTGCCATAACACTGCTCAAATCCATCAGAAAAAAAGTGTTTGTATTGCTGCGTTGTGCATGCATTAATCATTGGATTTATGCATAGGAGCTTGTTTTTATGGTTTTTGAGGCATATGATAGCTTGCTTGGTTTGCAAGCTGTAAATCAGCGATTTTCTGGGAAAATACTGGTTTTATTGAGGAAATATATGTTCGAGAAGCTGTTGGGATGAGTGTGAGACAAGAACAAGGAAGGGAGATGAACTAGGTGAAAAATAAGAGCAGGAAGAAAGTGTCTGCTTTTTTACGTATGTAAGAAGCTTTTCTTGAAAATTTTAAAGGATCGATGGGAATAAATTTAGAAAATGAATACAAAAACAATACTGTAAAAATATGCATTTTACAGCATATGCATTTTACATTTCCAATTTGAATGAATAACGCTTTGCTTAGAAAACGCTGTATTGGGTTGTTTGATTCGATTTAAGATCATTGCATAGCTCCTAAGGACGATTTGAGCATACACATTAGTATCTTCGAGTTAAAAATCTTCCTTCCAGTGGTAAAAAGAAGCTGTGATATTTCCCCAAAAATTTTCAGAATGCTGCTGTTAGAGCAGGGAGTTTTCTTGTTTTTGGCTTTAAATGCTTGTCCCATAGCAATGATAAATAATTCGTTCTTGTTTTGTTTGGCGTATATTCTTAGCTCCCCTGTATGTTTATAGTCTTCAAAACGCCTTGCGCGTAGAAAACAAAAATGAAAGTTGAAAATAAAAAGTCCGTTTTGAACGCTCTTTAGTAATTCTGTCATGCGCAAAACTAATGAATAAATAACATAGTGCGAAAGGTGGGAGGAAACATGCTATAGCAGATTGTTCATGAAGCGCGAAACAGCACATTTTCGCAACTCTTCAGATATTTATTTGTTTATTCTCTCGCAATAGCACGGGTCCTATAGCAGCAGCGGGCTGCCCCCCCCCCCCTTCCAACACTCCCCCTTTTCCCCCTCCATCCTTCCGCCCTGGCTTGGAAGATAAAGCATACGTCGATCGTTATTAGCCCCGGCCTCGGGAGAGTGCTGTGTCTTCTGTACGGGCTCTCAGGCAGCCATGTGCAGTGTATTCGATGACTCATTAGGCTAGTTTATTATTTTCTTCGTGCTCAGCCCATACAGATTTTCTCCCTCTCATCCTCATTTCTCCTTGTATCAGGACGTAATGGTCATTTCACTCCCATTTTATTCCCATATTCATTCTCACAATTGCCCTTTTCCCTGGTTTGCTCAATTACGAAAGTCTACAGAGCGCTCCACACATGAATCATTTCGGATCTAACAGATTTTGATCGCATTCCCGCAAATCGCCGTCTAACCACTCGTCCCCACCATTCTTTCCATGCTTATCGTCGACAAAACATTTTCATTGACTTTTGTCAGATGGGCTCGCATTTGACCCTCTGATAGTCAGTATGTTTGATGTTCGGTCATTGTTTGCATAGCGCTCACTCCGTTTGTACCACAACGTCAGTTTTTCGCCGAAATGATGGCCCTCAAACTCGGATGAGTTTGGTGTGATAAACCTCTATAGACTTCCATGTTGTTAATTCCAAGAGTTTTTTCCCAGCGCTCAAATCCCCTTCAATCTAATGTAGCTATCCTATTGTATAAAAAATTGTTTACTAACATTATTCTGCTCAAAACCGACATCTCTAGACAGCGAGAACATTCTCATGTTTGTCAGTCAGCTGCACTGTATGGTTCACTCACACTCTCATAATAGCTTTTGTCAGTTCTGCTTGCATTGGTCAATGTACTTTCTGAAAGGCAGCATTGAGAAAATCTTCAGCTTTCTAGGTTTTGAATCTTTCAATCAAAGCAGTTTTTGTACCAGTTTTTCACCGAAAAGTCCAGCACTATAGTTCAATATCTGCTTAGAATCCTACAAGCTTAAAATCTATCCAGCTTGTTCCTAGATCCTCTCGCCTTCATCTCAGTCAACTTAAAAAATGTTCAATTCTCATCCTGATGCATCTCGTGAGATGTCATGAAAGCAGAACAGAACGCGAGCGACTGAAATCGTCGCCGAGGGACCTTGAACGCTCTAAGTGGCTTTTGATGGTCAAGCATGACTTCCGCAATTTCGACGGCTACGGAGACATTTTCATGTGATCTGGTTTCCATCAAGCAAAAGCATATTTCCTTGTCTTTTTTTTTGTTATATCAAAATTTGTTAGTCACGTTTGCAGTAACAGCGTTTTGGAATAATTCATTTTGCGGAATTCAGAAAATTTAGAACGTAGGCGGAATTTTTTCCGAGTTACTGATTCAGAATTATGAAGCAATTAGACTCTTATAAGACGAAATGTATGCGCCAATACTGACCATGTGTCACTTATTCAGTAAACAATAGGGTACACCACAGCGAGCGCGTGATTCCGGCTGAGGACGAGTTTGCTTCTACGATATTCGCTTCACATCACCTTATTCCGCAAGCCACAGCACCTCCACTGGAGCTCTGCTCTCATCGTACCCAATAAGCTATATGGGCAGCAGACGTGTTCTACGGCTATGTCTGTTTGCTTACTTTCTCAACTTCTCTACCTTCTCCTCCCACGTTTCTTATAGTTTTTACATGGTTGCAGGTAAAAAGGGCAGTCATACTAGGTCCTTATGCATAATTGATAAATATGCTCTCATTAAATGGACAGATAGCGAGTCGAGAGTCGATGCCGTTCCGACGCTACGCGATGCGCGTATTTTCCGTTCTGGGAACATTGGGGCGCATTAACAATTTGGGGGGACGGGGTTGGGTGGTGTTACGTTCGCACCTCTGCAGTGGCGAGTGCCTTCATAACGTCATCATCTCTTCCAAGAGCGTTTGCGGCCTTGCGACCTTAGCCATCAAAATAGATGAGCCTCAGCCTCTTCGGATTACACTAAGCGTCGCTCCACTGATTTTCCACGACATTTCCGTGTTGTTTTGCCTTGGAAATCCGCGTTTTTTCTCGCGTTTTGCTGTGTTTATCCCCGGCACACACAATTGTGTGGAGTCGATATCACGTTGAACAGCGTGATGAGTGATGTCATTGATTCCTTTCCCCCCTCCTCATCCTCCTGACGCCGTTCCTCTCGTTGACTTTTACTATTTGTTTTTCGCTCCCCCAACACGGCCGCATTGGTGTGGGAAATGGAGAGAAACGCGAAAACAAGACAGCACGCTTGCAAAGATGCGAATTGATCGACGTTTTCTCATTATTCTGCTGCGATTTCATAAGCGCATACACTTTCTCAAGGTAATTCCTGATTTGGGCCGTAATCTCTAGACGATACATAAATTTTGAACAGAGATACATAGCTAGATCACGCGCTCGCTCTTTTGTCTCACATTCGCTAGCATTGAGTTCGAGTGCAAGCGTATGACCACACGATATGCGCCAAATTTGCTGTCCATGGTAATCAAATGCTGAAAAGAGCTAGCTGTAACTTAAACCTTGTTGTCGAAAGAAGTCAATACCAATGCGAAACGGGGATTATATGCTTCCCATTTGCTAGTATCGCGGATTTCCGGTTTGGAGATTTCAAGCTGTAGGCACTTTCATAAACAAAAAGACACTTGAGAACTTCTAGTGAAAGAATATCTTCACTTTCTTGCGGGTCTTCCTACACTTTCCCTTGACTTGATCCGATAAGACTAATTGGTTATTGAGAACTTCATCATCCTTTCCAGTTTCACTTTACTGCAACATTCTCAGCCTAAGCAGATTTGCACAAACCGGAAGTTCATCGAGCAAGTTCATGCAGTTCTCTTGAACTATCACTGCCCTATGAAATATCTTCGAATTCATCACATCCATCATCAAATCTCGATTAAAATGAAGTATTTTCCAGTCAACCCTGTGATCGTAGTTTTCAACAGAGGAAGCGGAACACTTTATTGACAGCCTTAGAACCCGTTGTTATGTGCTGACTGCTGAAACAGGCTTTTCATGCGAGTTCGCTGACCCACGTGCTCTCTTTCGAAAGCTTAATTAGGCTTTTTCTTTGCGGATAACTGCAATACTTTAGCGTAGAAGATTACATAATAATAGAGAATTTGCAAAATATAAATCCACTAATAGCATAGATTAGTCATTTTCAATTTCGCAACTCTCAGCAGCTGTGCACACCTTCAGAAAAGCAGACATAACAAATGGAAATTTTTTCTGCGCTATTGACAGTTAGATATATGCGATTGATTGATCTGGGTTTATTTTCGCAGTAAAAATCGCTCGAAAAAAAATTTATAGACGTGTCAAATGAAGCAGATTTTGGTTTTCTTTTTGTTTGTTTTTTTTTCTAGAAACAAGCATGACTATTGGACCCGAATTTCATCTGATTGGGAATCATCAGCTGTCTATATACCCATGGCATATTCGAATCAATGTCACGAGATGCGGGCCCGCGATTATATCCTGGGGCATTCCCCCTCACATTACACGGGACCTTCTATTCTTACATACTTTTGATCGCTTCATCTCACATTCATCAAGAACATTCATCTTATATTCCAAGTGCATCAAAAGTTCAAACAAACTTTGGATGGCAAAGAAAAACCATCTTCTCAACTGACTATATTTTTATTGTTACAACACTCCCAAGCATTAATTACAGTGCTTGCCCAGCGAAATTTATGTGTTGCAGCCCGTGTTCTCCTCGTAACTAATACTTCCTTTGTTTTTCGCCTTTTCCCAGCAAGTAACAGAGAACAACGGCGATTAAGTTAGATCGATTTTGAAACAGCAGTACAACCATCCGTAGAGTCGTTTCGAGCCCTTTTGGCACTCATTTGCAAAGCGACTCGCTCCTACCCCTACTGGTTATTGCAATCATTCGCAAGAATGACTAACATTTCACCGACAGCCGCCTACGATTCACATTGAGCTCTAGCGCTTTGAAATCGGGATTATCCAGCAATGTATTGAATCTTCCTTTATATGAGCTGCGTATCTTCTTGGGTAGTAAAGATGTTCAGTGTGATTTTCCACCAAGGCTTTGCCTGTATCAAAGAGAGAAACGGACATAAGTTACACCCAGCTACCGTTCTCTATGGTGTAATCAGTTGCATTGCTACGCTTGCGACTAGTTTTTTTCTGCTACAATCTCTTGCTTCCCATCTAGAAACGGTTTTTCATACCGTAGCCCTGGCCAGGCTGGCTCTTTTGAGCTGGCGCAGCCAACCCTCTCTTGTTGTCTGTTCACGGTTCTCCGAATGCTACGAGATATGCGCTTGAAATGCCACTCAACGTGAACGACTTGTTCCTTGTTCGAGCTCGCTATGAAATGGATGTTGATTGGAGGCGACAGAGGATACCGTGTTTCCGCTGTTTTAACGTCGCTTTACGTCATCTCGCAATGAGAAAGGAGCTAGGAGGCTAAAGCACTCGCAGAGCCAATTCGGCTTTCACCGAATGAGGCAGGATCCCTCCACATTACTGCACAACACATTCTCTTTCGTGCTTTTTTTTCCCTTTCATCTTGTCCTTGAGCGAGTTTTTCCACGCTGCTAAGAAAATTATCATGCGGACAAGCCCTTTGCAGAGAGCGAGCGAGAGAGAGATGTTTGCGCTGGTAAAGGCATGTTCATTGTGAGGTCAGTCCGACCTCCGTTGTGCATCGTGAAACCGACCGCCCACTGTGCCACGGGCCCTGTATCCTGTCTGCGGCAATTAGGCAACTAGGCCGACCTCCACAGCCAACAACACCATGTCCGGAATTTCTGTGTGTGTGTACGTGTGTGACCGTCTTATCTCATGTGAGTCCTGCTCACGCTAATGCTCGTTGAAATCCTTGCACTTTCACGCCTCTCTCTCTGTATTCGTTGTTTCGTGCAGAAGATCGCCGTTTTGTGAGTCACGCTCGCAGTTTTGTTTCTATATCGCCACTGTTGCAGGTGAAGCGAAGATACGGGTCTAGAGTTTTTTTCCATGGTTTTTGCAAAAAACGCAACGAAGCGTCGCAGATCGAGGAGCAACAGTGGCAGCAGCAGTCGGAGTTCGTCGTCACAAGACAATCAGCTGTTTCTGGCTTCTCTCGCGGTATGCTTTCGCTGTTGCTCTCGCTCGCGCCCGCCCGCACACTGCCTGCGCGCTTCTCGTCGTCTGAGTACGCGGCGCCCTCCGCGCTGCCCGCGCTCTCTGCGGGGCCCCGTCCGCTTGTCTGACGGTCGCCGCTCGGCCCCGGCAGTGTGTGCGCCGTCGTGTGTGCGTGTCAGTGTGCTGCCGTCGTATACGCCTGCGTATGCTGAATCGCCAATTCTAGGTGCGGTCTTCCAAGGTGCAGCGGGGAGTGGAGCGGCCCACATCACCTCACGCCGCTGGTCCTGCCGCCAAGCGAGCCAGGTTCGTCTACCATCCCGTCTTCTTCAACCAGTACAGTAGCGTGCTCTGGCGCCAAATTCGCGCACCGCAACCCATGCTGCAACAGCTGTTCGGGCTCAGCAGTCTACAATTTCGCTGTCTAAACCTGCAATTCACATTTGTCGATCTCGCAGCGCAGTTCCAAGTTGTGCAGCGCTCTCCGAGGTCACTCCTGCCCTTGTACTGATGCTTCGGCACTAAATCAAATAACGCCATACTTTGTTTTGCAGTAACCTGACGTGTAATCAATAAATTGATTCTGACTGGAGTGGCACTAAGTAAGCTCTATTGCGAGTTAATGCCTGTAATTTTTTTTAGAACAGGAATCTTATGCTAGTATAATATATGCGATTATTTTTTCATTCCTATGTATGAAGTAAACTATCATAAAACAACTCGAACTTTCCTCTTTCTGATTGAAAACACCCAATAGAACAGAAATTTCGCAGTCCCATCGATTTTTGATGTGAATTTCATAAACATAGACGGATCATCTCAATTTATCTCATCTCAGTTTGAGTCCGCTTATCTGCCACTGACGTTCAAACGCATCAAAACGATGGTTTTAATATATCGTATCTTGGCCTGCTTGCACGTATTGGTCTCTACCCATCCCTTTTCTTATTTTTCTTTTGTAAATGATAGCGAATTCGGTATTTTTTAGGATGAACGTTGATTGTAATGTTCATTACTCGGGAAGTCGGTCAGTTGCTCAGCGCTTGAAACAGTGTTCGCTGAAGGTAAGCTTTTATGTTATCGAAATGTATCTACTGAATTAGCTTGTTTTGATCTTGATCGGAGGAGAAGTTAGTTATTGACAGTTGGAACTAGTGAGCGAAGACAAGGCGATACTTTAAGGCGCTGTACATAAGGAAAATGTAATGTAATTGCACGCGCACTTTCTAACAGCTGGCACCTCGACGTTTTATTTTCACATTGTTGCTGTCGCACCATTTCAATAGTATGTTATTGATTCTTTGAGGATCTCAACAGTGCGACATCCAATGGTAATGTTGCATTCAAGACACCCAGTTTACCCGGTTGCAAACCATCACCAAAGCTCACACCAAAGCAGCATAACACTGTTCGAATAATTGCACAATACCTCCGGGATTTGGGATTGAAGTGGGTGTTTCGCAGTGAAAAGCTTTTTGTTTGAAATCTCATTTGCGTCCTATATTACCTTACAGAGAATCCCTGGACGCTCTCACAGAAGAAAGCGGCTGCAAAGTCGAAAATGCAAACGCAAGAAAATTGCGAGAGGCTATCTATAAAGGTAAGTTCTAAGAATGTTTATATGAAAGGAAATCATTGAAGGGTTGCGAAAGATTCTTTTTTGTATATGCCGTTGACCGCCTTCGAAATGAACTATTTTTTGCCGAAGCATGCAGTTTTTTAGTGGAAAATTTTTTATTCATACATTGTACGTTTCATCGTTCTCAATGCTATGGAATGTACTAGGCTTTTCGCGCTAAATTGTAGACTGGTCAATTGTTGAGAAATATACTTTCTATGACATCAGCACTCGATCGTCCCAAATCACTTCTGTGACGGAGGGTGGAAGTGAACTTGAACTTTCGCTGCGGCAACTCCCCAGCGCTGTAGTAACCTTTCTCATTGAGCAAATTGTTTTGGAAAATCGAGCACCATCACATTTTGGACGTCCAGAGTGGGACATTTCAGGGGCATAGCGTATGTTCTGCATACTAGGCTTCATAAGTGAGATTTTGATTCTGAATAGTATTGTTATTCATTGCCGTGTTGGACCTTTTTAATTTGTTGAGCATAGCATTGACTGCTGTAAATATTGTCGAGATGCTTATCTATTGCAGCAAAATGGGACGATGCAATCGCTGTTTTGGAAAAGTGCTATGCGAATCTCAAACCACATCAGCTCGAGACCGCCAAATTAATCATACTAGAGGAGAAATTCTATGATCTTTTGCATGCTGATAATGTGAGTTTTTTTTTTTTATCCATGAAATTTTGTTGATTTTGATTGCCATTTGACCAATACTCAAATTTTCAACACTTTTGACTTCGGGGTCTACTAGTTACCTCGTTTTGTATGCCGCATTCTCGCATTTATACAGTTTTGTGAATTATATACGAGTACATTTTAAGACACCGATGGCCTTGCGATTACTTCGTGAAGAATTTCCGAACACACCAGTTGTGCGGGAAAAGCGTTCGAGTATGATCCGCATGCTTTTCATGGACAAACAACAGTTAGCCGAAGTTCCTGAAGCGATGCGCTACAGGTTGGTATCATCTATATGGAGTACGTTTTTCGTCATTGGGCTCTTACATCACTGAGTTATCATGGTTGGATATATCTGTCGAAGCCATGACAGTTGACATTAGCTGCAATTTATTTACGAAGTTGCACCATTCTTCTCCTGATTACTCTCATGCAAGTTCTTGGTTGTTAGAAGCTACCTTTGCCCTGTCGTTGGAAGAAGTCAGCTCTGCACGTTTGTGAGAGTGATAGAGATGGAGTGAGGTGAACGGTAGCGGTGTAAACGAGAGGTTTTGCATTCGCTTTCAGCTCGCATTCAACTTTGTGAAGCTAAGAATGCACAGTTGTTTCACTTACTTTGAGCAGCGAATCTGAACATTTGATTCTTTCATAGGTTACGTTATGGTCCTAAACAAGAAATGTTGGAGATGGAATCAGGTTTACCGTCTGTGATAAATGATGTGGGCTGCCTCTCAGTTATTCGAATGAACATGATGTTGTCAAACTCACATCATTTAGTAAAGTTGTTCTCTCGAGTCAACTAATGCTCTCATTTAATGTGGTAATCAGTAACGGGTACTGCATGACGATTGCGCTTTAGCAATGTTAGTTGAGCGGGTGCGAAAGCAACGTGCGCATATCTTCATTGTTGTAAATCCTGCGCCTCATGCGCTCTGCGGCTAATAAAGCTCGAGCCCAAAGATCTTACGCCTTCGTCAGGCAGCAGTCTATGCAAGCCTTTCTGTTAGCGATAATATCAAACCTCCAATGAGTTTTGACTACATCAGTTGTCCTAGTTTCATCCAGTTATAACTATGAATAACTCACCCTCTGACCTAGAGAATTGGGATAAACAGAGCAGAAATTCTCCATGTGCTCAGAAGAAGGAGGGCTTTTCGGTGGCGGCTGCTGATCATTATTTTTTTTTCAAATTTCTTGTATGTATACCGGTGTATATTTTATGAAGTATGTAATTGTTTATTTAAGAACAAAGAAAGATCGACGCAAACTGGTTATCAAAGTGCAGCGAGTGTTACCTGCTACCTTTATACTTCCGCCAGCTAGGCTCGAACAACTATTGGATCAAGGTAAATCATGTTTGTGACGAGATTTTACCGCTTATTTTCTTGTTCAGCACATGCTACCCAAGTTTCAAAGTGTCGGGTTCACCTAAAGAAAGAAACATCGGAAGGCTTAGAAGCTCCAGATATCTTCGTCGACCACAGCTGTCAGAAACGATCGTCACGGGGTTACATCAATACCCAGGTGAGTGGGGCTCTCTTATGTATTGTGACAGGTGATAAAACACAACTGGTTTATACGTTTTTTGGTTGTAACATCATGAATAACAAATGATACTGAAGGCTAGTACTTTCAAAGAAAAGGGTGCATTTTATGAGCGATTAAATGGTAGCTATAAATGACGTAGAACTAAATGAAATAATTCATTCACGCACAATGCATTCTGCTTTCTTTTGAGTAGTTCATAGTTAATAGTAATGTTGCCTTACTGCTGATTTTCAATGTTTACAGACTATTGGTGATCATAAGTGTGAGGTGTGGTGCGTCGAATTCTCGCCTGACGGTAAGCTACTAGCCAGTTGCTCGAAGTCAAGTCGTATTTTCATCCATACGGTATGTTTGCAACACACTTTGAATGACTAGAGCTCTTTCTTTTGCTTTCTTCAACTCTACATATGATACGTTACTATTGCTCAAGTTATCCAGTCATGAACGCTTGGCTTTGTGCCGTTAGTGCTCTTGGAATGTGTTTTGAGTCTTTAAGAGAGTAGTGCGCCACATAGTGTAGTTATGGGTCATCGATTATCTCCATACTATGTTTCTCCGAATGGCGTTCTCACGTATTGAGGATTTCGATTTTGCACGTCCTGTTTTGGTCTCGATAGCAGATCATTCGAAACTATTGCAGGTTGCATCCGGAGGAGAAAAGGTCGAATTGTTACATCTCTTATCTGGTTATGACAATGCTGATGTCGTATCATGCATGAGTTGGAGCGGCGACAGTAAATTGTTAGCTGTTGCTTGTACCGAACAAGCCCCCTTTGACGTAAGCCACTTTTCAAAAATCTGCTTGGTCCTTTGAATACTTTCATGATTTGTGTGAGGAGGTTCCTTGTCTAATATATTGTGTACATTTAGATCATGGTCTTTGCCGCTAAGGAAGGGCGAATGCTACGCACCATTGACAACTTGCCGAATTCTCTTTTTACCACTTGTGCCTTTTTCAATGCTCCCAACTATTATCTCATTGCCGGAGATGAAAGAGGGCATTTACAGATTTGTGTAAGTGTGAACTCGAGTTTTTGTTGGGTGACTTTGTTCAATGATTTTTCTGCAGGATATCAAACAACCCTCAGAAGGACATGTCCTTGGACTTTGGGAAGGTTACCGCATCCGCGGTGTGTACGGCATGAGCGACTGTGTCACAGTTCTCGCCTCCGACACGCATCATAGGTGAGGGGTTACACATTTTACACACTAACGTTGGTAAAATTCGTATGTCACGTTTTCTTTTTAGACTTCGGCGGTACCGTTTTGATAACAGAGTCGACGAGACAGTGTTTACAGAAGAGGTACCAATCATCTCTTTCCGGGTACATCCTAATGAGAGGTTGGTTAGCTTTGTAGTGAGCTATATGGCTCTAGCATAACTCAGGTTTCTGTAGGTTCGTCCTCACAACTACACAACGAAACCTTCGAATGTGGGATTTACAGTCGAAGACACTGGTTAGGAATTTCTATGGAGCTCAACAAGGAAATCTCGTAATACACGCTGGTTTTGGTGGAATTAACCATGGTTACTTGGCTACAGGAACTGAAGGTTGTTTTGCAAAAAATCAACTGACTTATCTCAAGCATAGATTTAGATCACAAAGTTGTAATATGGAGCATCGGAAACAGCAAGCATACCATGAGGTTACGAGGACATAAACGTGTAGTCAACGGAGTGACTTGGAACCCGAAATATCCCACGTAAGCCAATGTTGCCATGAACTATTTTGTTGTGATGTGAGAATAGACAGTACTTTTCCACGCTTCAAACATACTGGTGTATTGTTTGTGGGAGCTCCGACGCCAAATTTGTGCCTTCTTGTTTTCTTGCGTTATAGGTGTATCGCGCATGCGTATTTGATTACTACCGTCACGTTTTTTCTTCAGGTTGCTAGCGAGCTGTTCGGAAGACATGACAGTGCGCATATGGAATATAGCTCGTAACGATCTGCCTCCTGAACCACCCACGTCTAAAAAGAAGGGTCACAAGAAAAAAACGGGTAAACAACAACCGGCGAATGGCAAGGACAAGAAAAATGGAACCACATGACAAAGAATCTCATCCATGGTTGTGTCCACTTTCTCACTGTCTGGTCACTTAAATGGTATTTATGTATCGTATTTCAGCACTCGTACTATGTCACGAATCGTGTCTTTACAATTCATAGGGTATTTCTTTTAGCGTTGAAAGCGTTCGTTAGCTTTTTTTTTATCCAATTTGAGTCGACGTGCACAAAGCTCTGAACAACTGTGTGCCTTAGTCTGTGAATGTTATTAGCATGCGATTCAGCAAGCGCTGGTCGCTTTTGAGTCGGTGTCCCTACAATCTGTGAATATTACCAAACTGTGTATAATGAAACTGCTTGTTATACCTGTAAAACTTGTAATCATAATCAACAATATCCAGTGAAAGTGCTGGTTGATCGCAACGTTCGGATATGTTCTTCCTCCTCATTGCCGTTCTATGTAGACTTTCACTTTGTTTCTATGGCAATTAATGAGTTACAGTCAAACCTCAAAATCGGCTTTTTTAACGCTCAGGATTCTAAGACTCGCCGACATACGTCGAATGAATGTACATGTATAGAATTTTATGTGAATGAATATGTGATTCAGTGTTGCTGTTTTGTTGAAGCATTACCATTCATTGCATGTATAAACGCTGTAAGCTTTTTGCTATGTACAAAGTGGGACAAAGTTTGACATCGAAGACTTTCAAGAATGGTCTTATGTGGATGAAATGGAGAGCTTGGCGTATTAAGTAGAGTCTCTGCGGAACATGAGCTCCAGGTCGAAGGGCATTCAATCCATGCTGGATTTCACTATTCAGTCTCATCGAATACTATGCAATTACACAAGCAACAACAAACGGAATGTTCAAATGATATAATATGAAGAGATTAGTGACGATCATTTTACCACAGAAAGAATTATGCAAAGAAATCTTGAGCATATCTAATCAGCCAGTTGTTCCTGTTGCACCGTCTGTTGTAGTACTGCTTCCTTCGACAACTCGATCAGTTGTCTAAATCACAGTCATATCGCATATCACTTACATGTACGCACCTTCAACCCATAAAAAATCATGAAAAATAACAAAAGACAACTCAAATAAGAAGCTAACTATATTTCCTTTGAATAGAAGAAGAGATATGTGGACTCCTTGAGAACTGCTTATCGACACTTGAAAGTAGTGCGCTAGTTTGAGAATCTCATCTCGTAATGAGAAACTTATTGTAGGTCACTCTTACAGTGCTTTTCATTACGTATGCGGACTATCACCTGTGCGTACACTTGGTAAATTTCCTACTGATAGCAAAAGAGATAAGACGTAAGACAGATAGATCTTCCTTGATTAAATCACGCGAACTTTACAACTATTCACTTAGAAGTGCAAGAAAAGGTTGATTCAATACCTGCTCCAGAAAAAGTTACGCCTGTACTTTTCCCGAGACTGACGAACTTACGAACACAAGCTCGAAAAAATCATCCCACCTTCGTAGAACAAGAGCTCGAGAGATCAGTTCACGCTCTTTAGTTCGCCATTGCGCTGAGGACTTCTTCAGGTAGTCTTCTTCAGTCCAGTCATTTTGCCATCGGAAGAAAAGCCTTTCCCAAACGTGCTAAACAGGATTGCATCTTGCAAAAAGCAAACACGAGTTAAAGGTGAATCTGCTTCTAGAAGGAGGCGCATTCCTGAACGCCAGTGTTAGTGTTCATAATGTTGTCGAGTCAGAAAGGTTCATAGAGATAGCATGCCAGTTTCTCAACGTTCATACACTCCAGCGTCAGGCAAGCCAATTTCGAAAGGTATAGCTAATGCTGACAAAAGTTGGATGGGATCGCAGGCGGAGTGCCTAGAGTGCAAAGCAATGATAGCGTATAAAACTATCACTCCGTAAGAGCTTAGTACCCAACGGATTGTTTTTGCCAAACTATTTGGTGAGCACAGCAACTTACGATGCTTTGTGGCGCGACCGATGGCCAGATCACGGATTCTCTCGGCTCGTACAAAACATTCACAAAGGATCGAAGGATTTCAGGATTATTAACGTATGACCAAAGGGAAACAGTTGACTTCTTTACACCAAGTTCGGCCTTCATCTGTAAATCCGATTAATAAGCTACTTGAAATGACGAGATTGACTAACCTTTTCGCTGTTGCCTAAGAATGACCCGAATTCACTCGCATAAGCATGTTCAAACAAGAAAATGAGAAAATCTTCCCCAAACTCGAATGAATGAGGAAACTGGGCAATAATCTGCAAAACACCAATAGAATGATAAACAACAGTGGAAATACATACACGCTTTTATTCTCATGGTGAGAAACTTCCCAGAGAATCGAGAGAATACTATACTCACTTGGTATACAGCATCAAGAAAGCACAAGAAAACTGGACTCTCTTGAGGTCCAGTGATTGTTCCCTCTGCATATGCCGAGTGCGCATTACGTAGTTGAAAAGGGTGTCCGGCACAGATCCACTCCCTTTCTATCAATGATTCAAATCTGCAATTGAAATAGAAGCATATTACAAGTTACGTGAGCAACTAACCCTCTAATCGTTCTTGCATCGGGATCAAGAATCACTTGAGCCAAAGAAGTAGCTAAGAGCGTTGTGTCCGTACCTTCTCCACCATGTACAACCACAGGTACCTCTAAATATGTCTGCAACGACCGAGTAGAAAATATAAACTCAACTCAAACACACTGCTCATGCGACCAAACCAAGCTGAAGCATGCTGAGTCAACACGAGCTATCTACTTCACGACACATTAGCATACCTGGAGTACCTTCACAATGGACGCATTGAGCCACATTTGCAGCACAATTGAGACTATCGGACACGCACTGCAACCAGGATGCTTGTGCTAGGCGAGACACGAATCGGTCACAGGAGACTTGCCGATCATTACACACTACAATGATACAACTGCACTGTGCAACATGGACAGAGAATGAAAACAACTAACATAAAATCAGATGCAAAAACAAGAAACAAGGAACATTGCGCGAAATAATCAACTCACATTCCACCATCTTGGCAAGCGCAACATGAATTTCACGTATTCGTGGTATTGGAAATGACATGTAACGGAAATGGGAGTAGTGCATGTGGGATTCGTAGCCTCCTCCTAAAATCTCACCACTAAGTAGACAGCTTGCTAATGTATAAGATGGGATAATAAAACAAAAATCAATGCCTATATGTGATTTCCTAGGTTCGCTGTCGCAACTGTACGATAGTTTTTTTGCTCAGGAAGAAAAAAGAAGAGTACATCACCTTTACTTCTTGCATTCTGAGCAATCTGTTTGGCTCTTGTATCGATGATTGTTCCGCGATTAACAGTCAACAATGACTTCAAAATGTTTTCGTCTTCCTTACAACGTCGATTTGTCGGTCCAATTAGTGGCTGGCCACATCTCATAATGGAAGACTAGAAAATGCATCGTTTGCACAGATGAGATAGTTAAGAAGCATGGAAAAAATGTTATTGACGATTCTTCTAGCAAGTCCACCTATGACGTTATCGAGAACACCCCATTACAAATCATAGAATGATTTATTGACGAAGAAATGGCCGCATCCCCATGCAAAATTTTCTTATATACATAATACCAGACAAACAAACTTACTTTTGTACTTTTGTGGTAGTAGCTCAAGACGGGAAACCGAGATCCATCGCGAAAAGTAGCGCTAATTCTAAGATAATCATCTCCTATTCCTTTTGGTACTATGACTTTTTCTGGATATGATGGACATACCTGAAAGCATGAGATTAGACGATCGAAAAAAGAAAAGCTGCATTTTGGTGCTTCTGACTGAGTTTGTGAGCGAGCAACAGGAGGGCATGGGGTAGAGTAAGTGCATGATGCGGCAATCAAGCCTTACGATATAACTTAAACAGGGCTTTTTATACAAATTATAGCAAGGGAACGGTCGTGCGTATCGAAAGAATAATGCGTTCTGTTCTTCGAAAGTGGCACGAGCCTTTGAAAAGTGCACGATACACCTAAGGAGACTTAGATTAAAAGAAACCTCGTAATTGAGTAGCAACAAAGTTGGATAATTGACACTACATTGCGAATACGATTTCGGCAATGATCAAGGATCTGACTAGTGGAACTGGCAGAACTTCTGATTTCATTTCCGTGAGTCTTGTCAAAGGGATTTTTTGAATTCGCATCAGCGAAAGAGTTTCGACCCTCCAGCATAGAAAGTGGAAGGATTTCTAGAAGGGGCTAGATCGGAGCAACTGCTGCTTTTACTACTGAAAACTTTTAACTCCGGTCCATACAAAAATATAAAATAAAAGAGAAGTTCAAAATACGGGACTTTCATCACTAACTGATCTCCCTCTCAAGTACGGCGTGGACCCATTCGCTTTTAGCGCAAGACGCCGAGCTTAACCTGAGTATAGTCACAAAACTGCATACAATGAAGCATTTTTATCTACTAAATAATTGTACCAGTAGTGAGCACTGGGAGTCGATGTACGGAGCTAGAGCATTGAGAGCAAATGTATGCACAACCTCCGATAAAACAAACCAAGTAAGACGCAGAAAACGTACCGCAAACCCTTCGTTGACACTACTGATGCGAAAAGCGTCACCGCAGCGAAGTATGAGACGAGCAAATTCTTCTTCCGAGTCGAAAGCTTTCCATCCATCATCCAAAACTTGGAACGGGCATCGGTAATAGAATGGATAATCATGAGAGCAGCCATCTAGAAGAAAAAGCTGATGGAAAAAAGGTATGGCGATTCGAAACAACGTACTTATATTCGATAAAGTCTCGATAGAACGTGCAGCAGCATTGCATTCTTCCCAATTGGGAATCTCAAACACGATTATCTGCAAAGATGTGGTTTCTGAACAAACCATATCAACGTAGATTATTTGCACAAAAGAATCCTATTATTAAGGGATAAGTAAACCAAACATGAAAAAAGTAAAGTATTAGACCACGCAAAACTCACCATAAAGTTCTTGCACTTCAATGCTAATAATCCACCTTTTGGCGGCTGATCTTTGCTGATGGGTTCGCATAGCACCCGATCAACGGCTCGATGAAGAAGCTGAATTAAGAAGAGACTAGGTCGGTGTGTTAAGTAAGACGAGCTTACCCAGAATTCTTCACTGCTTCCATCCTGGGGAGTTTGTACATTTGGCGAAAATATTAGATGATGCCCTGAGTAAACAAATCGAATACGAATTTCAGAAACTTTAAAGATAAAAAATATCTTACCTATCAACACTAGTGACCCTACTTGTGCTGGCCTTGGTCCTTTTCGCATAAACACATTGTTCACCCGTGGAATTCCGATTGCATCTGACAGTTCCATTTAGAAAAACTTCGGAACGATGGAAAATATGTACCAGTATTTAATCCATATGGGTGGTCAAAAGCGACTTACGAGCCAATATGGTAGTAAGCTGCAGAGGCGAGATACCGGAGGCAGGGCATCCGCTTAGGGCCACATTCGGGCCAATTTCCATATTTGCGCCAATCCCGTGAGCTGGCGCGGGTTGAGTGGCATGGCCGGGCGGTTATCGCTCAAGTAATCCGGAATCCGCGTACACAAATCTTGTTCATAGGAAGCTGCTTGATGTATTCATATCAGATTTTGGGGGAAAACCCGGCGTTCGTTTCCTCGCTGATGAAGAAGTTGCCTTTGGTTGTACATAGAAGCGAGGCCTGCGCGGGCGTAGAGCCTAAAGATAAGTGATGCTCAAACGAAACGCTTGCACCCGCTTCTTGTTAGTATAAAAGAATCCGCTTTCAGTGATCGCCTTTAGCTAAGACCCTGCGACTGCACACATTATGTTTGGTCACCTAATAGGTCCCACCATTTGTGACCTAATATGTGCATTGCACAATTGCAAGAGCATGTAGGCATGGGTGCGTAGGAACGCACGCGGAAGAGCTATGTTGTGAGAACAAGATATAAGACAGATAAAGGATTAGTATGTTATGAGAATAAGATCAAGTGTTATATACTTGATTGTTCATTCTTGCATTACATTCTTGCTTCTGCAGTGGTCCTGAGCGGTTGCCTTATCGAGTCTCCTGTTGGCAACGTCAGTTTTATCCAGCTAGGCGTTCTACGTCATCCAGCTAAGCGGATCTTGTTTTCACCTGTTCAGCCATATCCAGATTTTTGTGCTACCTTTTTGACAACTATCTCGATAATATCGATAATGCCTGCCCGTTCCAATTTTGGTTCATCTTCTCAAACTGTTGCCACACGGGCACTCAAGAAAAAGAAAGTAGCCGACCATTCTGAGAATCTTGCTGTTGATACACCTGATGTTGACACAGTAGATTTTGATAACCGCTCTGTGGGTGAAATCATTGAAACTATTCTTGACAGGAATACGGATCCACTCATAGAAAAATTGGTTATGGCCTTGAAAAGCAAGATGCCCAAAGATGCAGAGACTGAAAAGAGAGAACGAAGTATTGTACTATCTGGACTTCCTGAAGCACCAATCAATCGACCATTGCTTGAGAGAAAACAGCACTTAGAAGAAAATGTTGCGCGAGTGCTAGAACAGATAAATGTTGATTGCTGGCCTTGCGAGATTTTTCGTATGGGTAAGTTTGCTGAAGGTAAGACTAGGCTTGTAAAACTTGTCTTTCCTTCTCGTTCTGTCTGGGCTCAAGCCCTCGCAAATTCTTATCTCTTACGAAAATCTCCGCTTTCCAGCATTTACATCCGTAGAAGCATGACTTCTGCGGAACGCGAGTTGGACTATCAATCGCGTAAGCAGGCTAGTGAGAGAAACAGAGGAAAGCCTGTCAAAGAGTGGGTGGTTTATAGGGGGGAGTTGAAACATGTCTCTGACCTTCCTAAGTGTCCCCATCAGGGAAACGTGTAGAAAGGCAAGGTGTTTCCGACCGTTAATCTTGTTTTCTATTTAACGCCCGGAGTTTAGTTAATAAATTACATTTACTTCATTCTTTAATTTACTACACCCCAGACATTGTTTGCATCACAGAATCATGGGTGTATGACTTTATGAACGATAGCATGTGCCAACCGCCAGCTGGGTACCGTACGCGGTGCGCTGATCGCGCCGCCCCCTCGTTAATTGGCCTAGGAATGCGTTGCAGCCATTGAAAAACTCTCTAATATTTCGCTCACGCTTCTTCATTTGGTTGCAATTTAAATAACAGTAGAATTCAAAATTTTTAATCAAATTGAAAACCAGTTTTCAGTTTTTTATTATAAATTAGTTCGCAAGCTCTTTTCAATGTATTTGAGTTATTTGTTCCTAGTGGATTTGTCCGAATTGATTTTTCATTGTAAGTTTAGTCTGAAAAGAATTCAGCTTATTGAGAAATATTATTATCATTGCTGAAATGACCAACACGATTATCTCTTTTATCGGAAAAAGTAAGTTTTGGAACCCTAATCTTAGCTAAAAACAGATTTCATTGCGACGAGAATTCAAAACAAGCATTACAGGCGAATTTTGTTTCAAGCAAACTATTTTCAATAACTTGTTACATCATTAACTATTTTCAATAACTTGTTACATCAAACATTACATTTGGTAATGTTTCGCACAATTAGATATCCTCGTTTGGCAAATATGCGGTCATATCACACAAACTTTTTCAGATTTCAGAAAAAGGAAAACCACACTGCACTAAATTTTTTCGAATCTGCTCTAAATAACAAAATTCTTTTGTTTGCTTTCAAAAACTGCTACCCTCAGTAAAAATTGATCTGTAACTCAATCGAAATTGCGTGTGAACTAGTCGTAAGATGTGAGGTCACTCAGACAATCATGCCTGAGGTGTTCTAGATTGATTTCACACTTCAAAGTTGGATATCCAGGAGTTACTCGGTCATTTATAGGTAAATCAGCAAATCTCTTGGATTTCACGATCAACACATTAGTTGCTCATGACTGGTAAAAAAAGAAAAGAAAAAAAGGCAAAACAAAATACTGTAAATAGTCAAGCTTCACCCCAGCTTGCAACAAGCTTAAAGCTCACACCATCAGAATTGTTTTCACTTGACTAGGGAACATGGCCATGAACCAGTGCCAGAGCTGTACTGCAAAGAACTCGTCCATGTTGCGATAGGCGGGGCTAACGGTGCGCACCTTATTGAAACACGCCTGCCTAAGCGCGCGCTATCGTTCATAAAGTCCGCCACCCCAGAATCATGGCTAAGTCCAAAAATTTCTAGTAGTGAATTGACCGCTGAACTTCCATATAATTTTTATCGATCTGATCGTACTGGAAAGAAAGGCGGTGGGATCTGCTGTTTTATAAAGATTGATCTTTCAGTTCAGCAGATTAACCAGAACCAAAAAACCAAACTGATTTACTCTGCTTAGATATTTATTCCACTCAAGCACCTTCCCCTTTGAGTGTCGTAACGATTTATCGCCCACCAACATCTAAAGCTGTTGACGACGATAAATTGATCGATATTCTCACAAACCTCTGCTTTCAACCATTTAAAACAATCATTCTGGGCGATTTTAACATCGATTTCATTTCCCCTTGCAAACCCCCACAACATGAGCGCTTCCTCTCACTCTTTCAAGACTGCAATAAGATTCAACATGTCAGTGTTCCTACTAGAGGGACAGCTATCATCGACCTCGTTTTTTCGTCCAGTGATGTCGTAAAAAATCTATGCATTTTGCCTCCTTTCGGGTCATCCGATCACAATGTTATAACTTTTCATGCTAATTTCTCGTACTCCAAAAGTTTCTTTTTGCCTTTTCCTGATTATCAAAAAGCTGATTTTTGCAAAATTAATGAAGCTCTTTCACGCATCGACTGGTTGAACGTTTTTGATAAATGGTTATCCGTCGATGACCTCTACTACCGATTTTGTCTTGAACTATACAACATTTTCGCAAAATATGTACCATTCTGTTACCAAAAAGCCCCACACTGTAGATATCCACAGCACATTGTTAATCTGATTGAACAAAAGTCACGTCTTTTCTCTCTTGTATCTGATCCATTGAGAAATCCTCTCTATAAAAAAGTATGTGTTGACCTGAATCGTCATCTCAAGAAGTTCTTGTCTAACCATGAACTTCATCTTGCCAAACGTGGTAACAATAAATTGCTTCGTTACTTCAAATACAAAGCTAAAGGAATAACAAGATTGCCTACTCTTATAGATGATTCTGGTAATACGTTTAGAAATGATTTAGAGAAGGCTAATGCTTTAGGGCGCTTTTTTGGCAGTGTTTTCGACCGTGACATTTCTGAAGTCCCTCATACCTCTTGTCTACAACTTGAAAGTATTACTGAATCTTGTGGTGAAATCCAAGTAACCACAAATCTTGTTTAGAAATCTTGAAAAAACTCAAAACAAATGCTTCAGTTACCTATGATGGAATTCCGCAAGTCGTTCTCAGAAACTGTGCTAAAACTCTCACCTTTCCCCTTACATATACAGGGTGTCCCAAAAGTATGTATCGAACGTTTGATCGTTAATATCTCTCTTCCCAAGAAGTCTTTTGCCTTGCTTCAAGTACCATTTTGTAGAGCTGGCTTCAACTTAGATTTGCATTAAAGAACGAATCACCCATCTCTCTTCATTACTGTAGGATTACGGTAGAAACTTGAAACATATGGTGTCAATGTGGAAAAAGCTGCAGTTCCAAAATTCTTCAAAAAATTGTGAAAACTTGTGTAATAGGGTTTTTATGGATGCTGAGTTCAATACTCAACTATTCACAAGATTACAAAGCTTTCTAAACGGTGTAATCGCACTTTTTAGGAACATTGAAAAAATGGCCGCTACCTCTTACCTGGCATAACTCCTCAATGAAGCATCATAATAAGTCGGAAACTTTACAGTTATAATCAGCAACTCTAATTAGCCTAGTGTGAAAACTTTCAGGCTGTTTTATTTCCTTTCTAAGGCAAAATATGGCCTTTCATTGCTTAAAACCCTCTTTGAAGTTTCTACCGTAATCCTACAGTAATGAAGAGGAATGAGTGATTCGTTCTATAATGCAAATCTAAGTTGAAGCTAGCTCTACAAAATGGTACTTGAAGCAAGGCAAAAGACTTCTTGGGAAGAGAGATATTAACGATCAAACGTACGATACATACTTTTGGGACACCCTGTATATTCAATGCATCTCTCTACACTGGTGAATTACCTACAATCTGGAAAGAAGCATTGATTACCGCTATACCTAAGAAAGCCTTCGGGAACACCATATCAAATTACAGTTCCTATTAGCATTTTGCCTTCTGTTGGAAAAGCTCTTGAAAAGACAATCTTTAAGGAACTGTTTAAGATAATCTTTAAGAAACTGTTTAACTGGTTTCAAGACAATCATGTTATTCCTCTCGAACAACACGGCTTTCTACCAGACTCTTCTACTACTACACTACTTTCTGATACTCTTTTTGATTGGCTTAACGCTCTTAACAATGGTAAATCGGTCGACATCATATACTTCGATCTTTTTAAAGCCTTTGATAAAGTCAACCATCAAAAACTTCTCTCTAAGCTGTATAACTATGAAATAAGAGGTGCTTTAATCTCATGGTTAACATCTTATCTTCAAAGTAGGGGTATGACAGTTAAGGTAGGTTGTCAATATTCAGATCGCTATCATTGCAGTAGTGGAGTACCGCAAGGTGGTATCCTTTCACCCCTCCTTTTTCTGACATATGTAGCTGAACTACCTATGTACCTTAAGACACATCCCAACGTGATGGTACAGATGTTCGCCGACGATATCAAAGTGTATTACTGTTATGATTCCTGCCAGTAACATACAGCTTTTGAAGCACTTTCTCTGTCAATTGAGAAAATGGTATCATGGTCTAAAGAATGGGATATACCAGTCAACCTTTCCAAAACCATTGTAATGCATCTTGGTGACGTTCCTTGTTGTACTTACATCTGCGATGGTATCGCTCTAGAATAATCTACTCTTGTACGCGATCTTGGTGTGATGGTTGACAATTCTCTCACATTCTCCTCCCACATCGATCAAGTGATCAAAGAAGCATCATCATCACTTTTTGCAATTTTTAGAAACATACACAGCAATGATCCTGATGTTTTCTTGAATTTGTACAAAAGTTTTGTCCTACCACATCTTGAATATGCTTCCCCTATCTGGAATCCATTTTTGAAACGAAACATCAATAGAATTGAAAAAATTCAAGAAAGCTTTACGAGATTACTATTCTATAGATGTTTTCCGAATTCTGAGTATCCCCAAGCCTTAGCATCATATCGATCACGTTTGAAAATGCTTAAACTTCAGAGCCTAAAGTACAGACGTATTGTCAGCGATCTTACTCTCTGTTTCCGAGTATTATGCCTCGAAACCAGACTCAAGGCTAGTAAATTCTGGATCTTTAGACCTTATAGCGCCCGGTCAGGTAGGTTTGGACTATATTATCGTAAGATAGGAAAAAAACGACCTGTTATGATTTCTAACTTTTTTGCCTATCGAGTGTGTAGATGGTTTTCGTCACTTCCTGATTATATCATCGCAAGTGAAAATTCTAAAATTTTTCGAAGAAAATTGCGGAATGTAAATGTGCTCCAGATTCTTGATATCTGTGATTTTTAGACGTATCCCGTACAAATGTACCATCCAGTGTTGTTCAACCAGCCTACTCCATCAGCTCAACCAATCTCAATCAATAAACGCCGCCCTTTCCATACTTTTACATGATCAACCTAATGAGACAGAAAGACCACTATTCGCGTTCTAATTCTTTGATACTACTATATCTATTAGTTCATAATGATAAACCAGCTCGTCTCATCTAACAGGAAATCATCTTCATACCATTCCCGTCCGAAAACACATTAGATAGCATCGCGATCACATCTTCTCATAAACAAATCTATCCGCAAATGATTTCCCGGAGTAGTTTACTCAATTCTTTGTTCAATAACCTTGCTCTTCTCTAAAATGGAACTTGTTTGGGCTTAGTCAGTAGCCTTTGCCCGCAGGCTCGCTGGCAAAACAAAAAGGGGGCCACTACAATTTTTAGAGGAAGCAAGGTTTTAGGACTTATTCTGTGACTTCAAATGCCATTTGACAAGCCAATACTGAGTTATATCTTGATGATCTTGAGTTTTGATTTGTAATTGTTTTCTTCCATGTCTTTTTATCTGCCTGAATTCTGAGACTAGCTGGTACCCTATTTACTTGAGTTCCTTTTTTTTTCTTCGGCACACTTCAAGTGTATTAATAAATAAATAAATAAATAAATAAATAAATAAATAAATAAATAAATAAATAAATAAATACGAGGATGATACGCATTCCGCAGTATGTATATAAGCCGCCGCCCACAACTTCAATCTAGAGAGGTTACGATCCCAGCTCCCGAGCAATGGCGCTCTCCTCACCCCCGGGCGGACGTTTGCCCCGTCGTCGTAGCCGTCGTCACCAACCGAGGACTTATGGTACTCATGGTCATATTCCTATACTGCAGCCTGTGTCATCTATAATAAACTGCTTCGTATTCTGGTGTTACGACAGCTGTATTACTCTAAGCCGTTTCCACTGGGCTAACGCTCACTCAGTACGCGCAGTATTTTCCGACTTATGTGCATGCAGCTTGCCTGTTTCAGGAATTTCTTTTTGGTCTCCATTCCAAGGAGCAGATAAGAGGTAAATAAGTAAGAGCAGTCATTTCAACACTCTGTTTGATAAGAATTATGCCTATCGATATTAACTAATACGTAATTGTTGAAGTACGCATGGGATGACAAACTCACATATAAAACTTACAATAGAAGCTTGTTTAGTCGAAGTGGCCTTGTCAAATGTGTATACCTCATAGAAGGGCATAAAATGCTGATTCCAAATCTCCCTTCGCTATCTGCAGAACGTTTATGGACGAGGAGTGAGCATTTTTTTAACGAAAAAATTAATTGTGTATTTTGGATATGAGTTGCTAAAATCTTGACAGCCCTCAAATCCAGTTAAGTGTGATATGTTTTTTGATTTAGAGTATTTATTGAAGAAAGTACTCTGATGATTACTGCTCCATGAAGAGTAGGAAAATAACAGCTATTTTTGTCCTACTTGTACATTCGATTTTTTGCTCGAATAAGCGATCATAACTCCTCGTCTATAAACTTTCTGCAGATAAGGAAGGCAGACTTGGAACCAACGTTTTATGACCTTCAACATGGTGAGAAGATATGCTGAGAGATACGTGGAAGATATGGTGAGACAAAATAAGCATTTTGCTAAGGTTACCATTGTTGAGAATCAAACTTTGCTGCCCCCTGCATGAATTTTCCTTCCATAATTCCTGCGATGGGCTTAGGAGATGGTCAGGATATTTAGCCCTTCTTCGCTGTCAACAAGTGTAGAGCACATACGAACAATACGCTTTGTTCGCCTGAAGTGGATGGGCAACTACAACGTCCTGGTCGGACTCTTTGGGCAAGCTACAAAAACCGTTGTGACAGAAGGTTCAGAGGCAAATTGACCAAAAAGTACACTTCAAAGAAGGCATTCTTCTTGGACGAGTATATCTGCTCCTGACTTTGTTCTGTTGAGCAATTCTAAAAATATGTAGCGACAAGTTCATTGAAATGTTAGGTTTTTATACAATTACCAATTACCACACACCGTAAGGGGAAAATTCGCAGCCTTTTCAATAATGAGATAATTTCTAAAATCTTTCTTTGTTAGGCAAGTTTTTCTTTGTAAGACAATTTTTTTCGGGGGCGTAGCTGCCGCTTGAGAAATTTTCGGAGTGCGTGGCTGACGCCACGCACCCTCATTCGTCAAAAAATTCTGTCGTCGCCCTCCCCTCTTCCGATACGTATGCCATCACATCAAGGAAGTTACTTGTTCAGACACCTAAGAGAGCAAAAATTCAGTTATTAATAGATGAATGGAATTCATAAGTGACGGTTCGCTGCGACTGCTGGTAATATACTAAGTCCTGTGCTACCAAGCTGAGTTTGGCCATTCTGAGCATGTGTAAATATCAGAGAATCGTCAGAAGTAACGTACAAGTTCATGAATAGAAGACTATGCTGAAATCTGTGTCCGCCTACTAACTAAGTCCACAAAATGCTTGGACTTTACATAACTAATCAGTAAAACTATAAGAACACTGAATTGCTGTAGAGTATCTTTAATGTCATAAGGGGCTTCTTCGAATATTCAAAAAGCTGACGATACGCTTGTACTGCAACGAAAAGGTTTAGGTTTATCAAACACTTTCTGTTTGATATTTGGATCTTACACGGTCTTTTCTGAGAGAACAATTGAACAGATAGCATGACACAGAGATGAATTTGGCCAACCTCTCCTTTAGATATTCGAATTCGAGCGGGAGAGTGCGCGTTCTGTCAAACGTTACATTCTACATCTCATTCTTAATCATTGGACTTCCTCTCTTTCATCATGCTTGGAGTTCATTCTTACATTTATGAATTTCTGTAGTGCTCCAGTACCTCACTAGGAATTTAGCATCATTAGCACTTCACACTTCCTCGGGAACTACTGAAGATGGGACACCGAGGAAGTCACATACCCGGTCTAGTTCTTAGCCCCGAAACCGGTTATGTGGAAAATTATTTGCTTCAATAATCTAACATCATAGATACATTTCTATTATTTCCTTCAACTGACCACCCCCTTTTTTGTTTTAGGTAAAAAGAGGCTACTTCAGCAGTGCTGCGAGTTAGAACTTCAAAAAATCGTATAAAAATAAATTTGACCACAGGATTTGGACCATTGGAAAGGGATCTGTAATGGCATTTAAGAGATAATCCAAGCTTTCAGCAGACTTATTTGAAAGATTCTGCATTTATTTATTTATTTTACACGAAAAGTGTACCAAAAATTCACAAAAAAAAATAAATTCGCAAAACAACTCTTGAAACATAAAAACATCGACACAAAAAAAAAGATTGAAAAAAATTTATGAATATGATGACTGAGCATATTGACAGGAGTACCCTAATTTCACGCGTATAAGGCGCACTTTTTCGATTTTTCAAGCGAGCTGCTCAGCCGCTTCACTGTATTCCGGAAAGAGATCATTATACCGCACGATTCTCTTAAGCAATATATGTCACGTTATAGGGTCCTTTGGTTGTAAAGCCCTTTGGCTTGTCTGGGCTGGTCGATTTTGGAAAAATCCCCTGCACCTTATACGCGTGAAATTAGGGTAAATTGTAATCTCAAAATGAGGCTCTCGAAGAACAACTGTGAATGCTGCTGTTTGTTCTAAGTTATCTAGAGAAAAAAATTTTTTATGTTGGTGCAAAATATCTGCCACACCATTTGTGAGAAATCATATCATATCTCCTTGCTCTCTTGATGAATTTGTACAAGCTTAATTTTGCTAGGTAGAGAAAATCATTTTTATTGGCAAAGTGCTCTTGCTGTAATGGTAAACCTTTTTTCTAAGACAGAAGCAGGGAATGAAATTACTTCAACTCCGATCATTTCAACTTAGGTCGCCAAAAATCTAAAAGTTGTGATAAAATTCGGAGTAAGCAGATATATAAGTCTTTCGAGACACCATTTCAAACTGCTTCAAGTTTGTAGTAATTGAGCATCTGCGAGTTATGATATTGAGACTGTAAACAAATAATAAGTTGTTTCGTACTGCTTGCTCAAAAATCATAACTCCTGACAGAGATGATCTATTAGCGCAAGAGCACTATTGGAAAGGGCAGATCAAAAGACTTATATTACCATTGCTCCAAATTCTATATTAGATTTCGATTCTTGGCAACTTAACTCAAAATAATCGGAATTAAGTAATTTCATTTCTCTGCTTCTTTCTCAAAAGCTTATCCTTATTAAAAAACAGGAGGGCAGTGTTGCAAAGGAAATGATTTCTTCTATCTAATAAAATTAAGATTGTGCAAATCGTGTAAAGTAAGTTAGTTATAAGAACTTATAAGTTTCTCAAAAGTGGTGCGGCAAAACCATGCACCAACCTGCTACATGTTTCTTAAGTCACATTCGTGCTCTTCATGGAGTTCCCCTATTGTCTAAAATTACATACAAATTTCTTGAAGATTTTTTAATCACTTGACTTGTTTCGCAAAAAATCCCTCTTCTAAGCTTATATTGGCGTAAATTCGTCAGCTTTACTTCTTGTCTGATGCTGATGTCATAATCTCAGTAGCGTTGACTTTCATCTATTTTCTTTCCATCACTGCATTCTGAAATGCAACTCTTCTGAAGCAGGCTATCATTGCGAGAGATTGTCTTCGATGAGAAGATGTGAAAGATGATGTGATGTGACCTTAAGATAATGTCGTTTGTGGTTTTGGATCTTTTGTCATTCCTACTTGATTACTTCAGCAAGTATTAGGTTGATGCATAATTCCTGCACCAAAATAGGTACAGACCGCAATAACGCGGAATAATCCTATATCCCAAGTAGGATTCGATATATCATTTGATAGCGCAATCCTAGCTCTACAAGATAGTGCTAATATCTACACCAGCTTTAATCCACGCGAAGTTTTGAGCCAAAAACTGAAAAAAACCATGCGTCCAAAAACCTTAAGACAGATCTTAAAAAAATTGTAACTTCGTTCAAAAAGCTCATACAAATTTTCTTTCTTGCTCACGCGTAGACGTTCCACGTAAGACATTTATCTATGCGGTTGCTGTATTTTTTTCTCAACTAGGCGGTGAAAAAAAAGTTTTTTAAAGTTTTTCATGTTCTTGCCAAATTAGTGCTGAGATGTTCTAGTAATAACAGTTGTAAAGTACATGCCGTTAGAGTGAAACTTTACATTTCCAGCCTTCTAGAACTGCTAGTTCGCGAGAAATAACTAATCTAGCTCTCCTTATCCAAATTTTTCTTGCCTAGTTGCTAAAAATTCGATAATTTTCGTAAACCAGCT